AACTGACAGCAAGAATTCGCATCCGGCGCGTTTCCTTCCGGTTTGCTTAAAAATAAACCAATCTATATTGCGATTGCACCCGAGCTAATTGCCGAGAGACTTTGGTCATCCGTCACACCATCTCTACCTATTTATCCATCGTCCATCGTTTTCTTTGTCAAGGAATCTACAACGGTAGCCTTTAAATAAACACTTCGGGCCTTGGGGCTTATTTATAGCATTTTCTATCTAGCAGGTGGTGGGATAACTCGTGCATGCCGCAATGCGCCAACAATGCCCCGCAAAACGAATCAATTTCCTTCGCAAAACGAAATACTTCTTTTAAAATTAGTCCGTATTGCTTCTCTATTTTTTATGTTATATCATTCGATTTAAAAGTAATATTGAAACGGAAAACAGGAACAAAGAAAACGCAATGACTTTGCATACGCGTTCACGGTGCAACGATTAAACAGAAAAAAAAAATAATTCCATAATTAGCCACAATTATTGGACACGTCGGCAATTAACTCTATTTTGTGATGCATGCTTGGTTTGTTTTCGTTATAACTTTACTTTAAACTTGGAGCCAAGTGACTGTTATTATTCAAATAAAAAAAAGATTTATATAAAAAAAAAACATATTTCGACCAAAGATCTATATTTGTTTAAACATCTCACTTGTACCGAAAGGACATTTTGCAATTAATAAAACACATGCTTTGATTTCGTACAGAGAAAACTCTATTAACTTTCGAATAACTTTACTTCTAATATAATTGTTGTTTCTCTTTCACGCAATTGCCTATCCATTGCAGTTCTAATTTATTGAAATATGCTCGTCAATTAAAAAAAGAATTTATCACTATTGCTACGTAGTATGTGTCATGTGTTCAAAATGAACTTGAATATCCTATTTATTTCTGCATTCGCCAAGAAAAGAAAGTACGTTTTGCAAATATGTAAAGTGTAAATACGTGTTATGCTTTTATTATAATCTTCAATTTATTTTAGAATGAAATAGTGCAATACCTCGCATAATGCCAAACTGAGTGCCGCGGCGCCCCGAGGTGCCATGACTGTGCAATATCGAAGAAAAACTACTATTAACATAAAGTTCACCCTTAGATAGATCAATGTTTTGACTTGGGGCGCCGCGAAAAATGATGTATTAAGGGCGCCGCACTGCTTGAAACCCAACTAATCCAAGACTTTAAACCGTATAAAAATAATTAACACAAAAAGAGCTTTTAATGAATAGAGGGATAAAAGATCGTTTATGTTTAAAAAAAAATGTTGTGTACTATTTTTTTTTTCGAATTTAATTTTGATTGTTTTGGAACTTTCAAACCGGACTATAGTGAATCCGAATTAATCGAAACTCAGGCACGAAAATAAGGAAGTTATGTTCTTACGTATTATAATATTTTTTAAATTAAATCAATGAGATAAATTATTTAATAGTTTATGACGTACAATTCTAATTGATTCAATGTGTCAGGTACAAATTACGTATTTAATAATGAATATACCATTTGAATACAATACATAGCGATGAAAATAATTATAATCATAAGAAAAGAAAAAAATAACGATTTTTAAATAGATATAGGAATTTTGTATCCTTCCTACCAATTATTAACTCTCTATTACTTTATAAAAAAATTGAAACATAAAAACCTAATAAATAGGATCATGAATGTATACAGACTGGATCTAGCTGTATTTATTATAGAGATTCATAAAATGAAATTCATTCTTAACATAAAGTTTTACTTTGTTACTATTTTTATGTTTACTCCATTTTTTTAGATACTTTTTGAAAATGTGAAAACTTCAAATATTAAAATATTAATATTTTTCTAACATCTGAAAGTTAACTAAATTTTTGATCACATATTGAAATCACAAATTGAGAAATACATATCTCAGAAAGACTAAACAAGCAAATGATAAGAAATGCACGCTGCTTAATTATTGCGGTATTATGAAAAAACATTCAATCTAACAACATATTGATTGAAGCACACAAATAATTGATGCCGATTAAATTCTTAATGGATCCAATATATCTGTATTTCAATATTGAAACTATATAATCATGTAATCAAAAACATTAAATCAAAATGTACCAGTCAACCAACGTATATAATTTAATAACAAAAAAAAATATAATTTTATAATTAATAGTTTTTTAACTTCGCTAGTTTAGTAAGTTTTAGTAATTGTTTTGAATTAACATTTTAATAAAAAATATATAAATATTAGGATATACGTCTATTTTAAGAAACCATATAATTATTCAATGTGAATGTATTGATTATTTTCATTTAACGTACGATTACGTGTAATTCCATTTGATTATTCCATTAATAGTAAGAGGCCCATATGAAATTCATTACAATTCCTTTTTCAATTTTCTTATTTCCGTGAAGCACATATCTAGAAAGATTTTACAAATACAGTATTCATTTGAACTATATTCATAAAAACATATAATCTCCGAGGGAAATTCGATACTTTAAAGGTTAAAATAACAATGGTGAAAAGCAGTGTAGCAGGGGTTAGTCTGCATGACGTCATTTTAACATCTGCAGTTGCTGGTGTCGTGAGGGGTTGTATTATATAGACTACGCTATGAAACCTTTTACTCGGCGCATTATGCAAGATACATAGATAAGATTAATACTGCAATACCTTGCATAGTCCGGATATTCGGTTTAACCAATATCCCAGACTGTTTGAAACAGGAATAAAATGACTTTAAAGAAAAAAAAAAAGATTATTTATGTATAAAATAATAATATAACTCATATTTTAATTTGTTTTTTCTATTCAAATTTATTATGTTTTCAAATTTTCAAATAGGACTCTACTGAAGCCGGTTTATGCGAGGTATTGCAGTACTTGAAAAACCAAATGGTTTAATCACAATTTAATAAAACGGAGAAAAAAATGATTTGTTATAAACCTGAAATACTATCACACAAATTAACTGCGAATTTTTAATTTTGATAGTATTATTAGAACACACAATTTCTTTTTTAGGGTTATCTCCTATCATGTTTTTTCCGTTAGTATGAAATATTAATGCATATTCTAATGGCAAAACAGATAAGCAGCTTTCAGAAACCTTATTAACAAATCTATAGAATTAGTTAAATTGACTTATTTAAAATAGTCATTGTATCTGCATTAGCTGTGGGGTTTCTTTGGGAATTATACATGTGGGAAGTGTTAAGACTTGTTACTCTATCAATTCATCTACGTTCTACTAGAGAGCTATTTCATTTGTCTCAAATTTGTAATTGGACACCCACAAGAGTTTGCTTAATTTTATTCGTAAACTTTTAAGTAACTGATGATCATCATTCAGATATTTATAATATAATGATTTTTTCACAATCTGCTTCAAGCAAGTATTTGTGATTGTTTTGCTAAAATAATAACACTATAAAGTAAATTAGTAATTTAGTGAAATTAAAACGTAAAAAATAAACCTATAAGAATATTGAGTTGGGTCAATTATACTAAAATATGTTTACTAATCGGTATAGAGCTACGTAAATATATCCTAATCACTCATAATTGAATGGCTAATCGAAAAAGAAAATTATTACTATATATAACATCAATCTCTTAAATATTGACATAACATTTATGTTTGTGTCACACACAGGTCACCTTATAAGAGTAATTTGACCCATGTCTCTCGTTTAAAACAAATCAAATATAAAATACTGAACAAGATTAATGCAATTTATTAATTAATTATTAAATTAAGTATTCTCTATATTAAAAGATACAATAATAATTATATTGTAAACTATGTATTATTAAAAAGGTTCGTTATTAAAATAATGCTCCATTTTACGTGACATTATTATAAATCAAGAAATTAAATAATATAAAGCAAAGGGATACTGAATTGCTTTCACCTTGAAACTAAAAAAAAATATAGTTATATATGAACTTGATTTTCTACAATTCATGGTTTTATTTGTAACTAGAATTGCGTATATGTGTATGTACATATTACATATATGCTTATATAATATACACAGTCAATTGGTTGAATTGATCGCCTAATACAAACACTGTAAATGTATCGTGTTTCAATTCTGGACTTTTCCACGTGACTTCGACGTTAATTCATTTTGAAAAGCTGCCCACCGATCGTCATTCAATTATTACACAGCAGTTAATTATAATTATCGCGCTCGAATAATGCCATCCTCACAAAACATGCGATTACGCGCGCAGAGGATAAATATATTATATATTAAGGTCGAAGGTGTTGTTGTTTTTCCTTTAAAATTCTGTTGATTGCAAAATATGTAACAGCGGATGCAAGCCGAGTTAGTGAGCGGTTAGTGAGTAAGTGCACTAGTTGCCCATCGCAAATTGCTCGTCTCTTCGAATACTCTTCTAGTCGACCTTGGGAATATTTTTTAACAAAATGGAGCAACTAAAGTTTCTCAGAATTGCATATGTTTTCGCCATCGGCTGGACGCTTAGAAAGTTTCACGATGCATCCTCAATGCATTTGCATTTCCGTAAAACGTGTTTCATCTGCATATTATTATTATTATTTTTACAATATTAATAAAGGAGACATTTCAATGTCAAGTGGTTAATGACACGGGCATTAAGCGTACATGCTTATTTTTGGAACATTTATATCAAAACACGTTTCGTCGTTGTGCGAATCTATTTTTATTTAAATGATGACAAAGATCCCAAGGTTGACTTCCTAAAAATCAATTGCTTTTAATTCGAATAACAGAAAATGTACAAATTCAACATACTTTTTCTTCCAATCTCTAAATTATGCAATATTTAAATAATGTGAATACCCGTATTGTTTAACATCACAAAACTTTAATGAGAGCAGAGCACGGTTCTTGAATAGTGTGCCCTTATCACAATATAAATATACATAACACCGCAATCTACTCTAAGTAAATATTTGTGAAAAAGACAATAGTGTAAGGTGGAGGAATATACTTAAGTATGTATACCTGTGTAACAACGTACGATCCTTTCCAACTAAATAATGGTTTGTGGAACATATAGAATTGCAGACGCATTTTGCCCATGTCGTCGGCGACGCGGAAACTGTCAGCTAGAGTTGTAACCCAGTTGACGACCTCCTCGTTAGCGTAGGTGATGAGGCCCTGACCAAACTGATGTTTACCATCCATGACGAAATTGAGGATACCACGAACCGAGTTTTCGGTCAACAGTGTCTCCTCGTCCAGGTGGACGATCCAATCAGAGTCGGCTAAAATGTTTACGTTTTCCTCCAAACAATATTGCAGGGCGCGCGCCTTGAACAGTGCGCCTGATTTTGTCCTGTAGGAAGGCGGGACAACAATTTCCCTGATCCTCCGATGTTGCTCCAACCCGATGGCTTTATCCGTGACCACTTCGATTAAGAAGTTTTCTAAACCAGAGTCTATGCACTTGTTCATGTTTCGTTGAACGTTCATCTTCACCAGTTGGGGATAGTCACCCCTGGTGACGACCCTAATGCATATAAAGGGCGCCAATATAGGGCTTCCTTTCAGAACGACTTTATCGGGGAACGCATTGTAGAAGATCAGTCCGGCGAAATTGAAGAGAACTTGGGGCAATGGCAGAAAAGTAACGAGCCTCAGCAAGTACAAAACAACTGTCCATGTGTAGCCATAGCGAACCCAGGGGTTGATCTCTAGTGTCTCGTCGTTCCACACCTTTACTCCGCCGGAGAAGAGTTCGAAGACCGCGATCACAGTAATCAGCAAGCCCACATGCAAATAATGCTTCGTTTTGCTGCTCAACATGTTTGTTACTTGTTGTCGGTTGGCTCGAAACCCCCTGAAACCTCGCCCCGAAAATCAAATTAAACGTTCCCAAAGGCCCTTGTTCTTCTCCAATCACTTGCACATTCCTCTTCTACTTAATTATAATTCTGTACGTCCTTATCACAAGCACATTTTCGCTCATTCAATTCATTTGATGCTAATTCTTAGCCGGCTTTCACGACAGATCCATTGCACTGTGCGCCGCTGCATCCACCTCACCTTCTTCTACACAACTACCGGCGCTGCTTTTCGGTAGTCTCGACTCTCAAGCTGCGTCCGCAGAAAACGAACTGCTTTCACGATCTACGCCAGCGCATTGGTCAGCAAATTCCGAGAGACACATTCAAATAATATATTTGCCATTTTATTGAATCCTTCAAAGTATATATATACAAGACAATCTTCAGCAGCTTATATAATACTGGATAAACGATATCTTTATGTATTATCATTTAACCACATACTCCAGTATTGCTGCGGCATGGACTGACCACTACAATTCACCTCCATCTATCCGGCTTTCGCCTAAGTAAACATAGACACATAGTAGTCTACTATTGTAGAATGCTTTGTTGACATTTCTAACAAAAAGAAAACGCAGTAGCTTTACAAATAACAAATATGTTTTTTTTTCTATTTGGGTTAATGTGTTTACTTACAAAACCTACATTATATTTTATAGATTCAAGTACAGATATTTGTTCCTAGTATAAACACAAAAAAACGATACATCAAAGCGGTCAATATGTCATTTGTTTGCATGTGTACTAATAAATATTAGTGTATTATATACTTTTGTATTATATAATTTGTGGACTCTTAATCTATTCATCTTCAGTAATATTTCTTAGATTAAATTAGTTTAGCTTAATACTTTAATTCAAGTAATTAGTATAACTTGTTAGTATTGTAATAAGGTATTATGTAATAAATAAAAAAACTAAATCATATTTATAATAATAAATTATCCAATATTAACGATTTATATATTTAAGAAAACTTTAGAAAGGTAGATAAATATACTTTCCTTTTATTATGATTATTATTATTTACGCATATACATTTTACAAATATTACTAATGCAGAACTATTCAGTAAATGAACATATTTCTTGTGGTGGCCACACTTTGCACACCGCTCGGCTTTTAATTAAACCCTGAGGAATAGGTCCATAGCTCCTGGAATCAGAAGAATTCGATCTATTATCACCCTCGATCCAAACGTGTCCTCTGGGAACGATCGATGATCGACCGAGTTCCGTGATCATACGATCACCAGGTAACCCTGTGATTCTCTTGCAAATCTGATCCCTAGGACTGCTGGGACATCTCGCAATAATAATATCACCTCGCTGCAAATTTCGATAATTTAACGTGAGACGTTCGGTAATTAAAATATCGTCCGTATATATTGTGGGTTCCATCGAAGGTCCGGTGCACTAAAACGGAAATAAATAAGATAAACTAATAAATACATTCGATACATCAATATAAAATCCATTGTTAGTGATTGCTTTATAATAATGTCAATAATACAAGCACATTAGTTATTTGTACAGATAAAAGGAGTAAATATTTATTGCACAGTGTGTGGCCTATATTAACATTAAGTTTTATGGCCAGTAGCTGCTTCTGTTTTATAGGTGGCGGGAATATTAGCCAGACATACCACTACAATGTTTGCAACGTACTGGAATGTACAATGCGCAATGCAATAGTATTGGACCGTGTAGCCGAGGGTGCTCATCAATTTTGAAAACACCCTGTTCATTATGGTAATCTTTGGAAACAGACCGATCGTAAAGGAGCAGCGACTTTCATCGACAATTTAAATCGATAATTGTTACTGAATTCGACACCATGCGCACAACGGTTCACTTCATCTCACTGTTGGCTACACTGCTCTGCACGTTATTTAATCACTTTCTACAACAAATATATTTTATAGCCCTCATTTAGATCTAAAATGATAATAAATTATGTTTACTTGCTAATGTAAACTAACAGTTACTGGATTCACCAAACCGCTAAATGTCGAGTAAGACTATAACCAACATGATATGATCCCAGACAATTTTACAAAGACAGTGTTGCCAAATATACAATAATATTTCTTTGAAAACATTATATTCTTTCCAATATAATAAAATATGTTCAATTAAACTTCTTTTCAAGTTTAATTGAACATATTTTATTAAGTAGTATGTATGTATTCTATTAAGTAGTATGTATTTTGTTCAAATATATTTAATTGTATTCATTTTGTTCAATTCATTTATTTTAAGTATTTATACTTATATATTATAATAATAATGGTATAATTATTAACATTAACAAATACTGAATACGCACTTTTCAAGATAAGTAATAATATAATTTTTTTTTAATATAAAGAGATTTATATCAATTTATTATTGATATAAATATCTTTGGCACTTTTAGGGTTTATCGACCCCCACGAATTGTTGTTGATTTATGAGGATCGAACAAAAGACTGTTCGTATCGGATTTTCGTGATACAGACGACTATAGCCACACGGCTACGGTCAGCTACAGTCGCCCTAAGTACTGATATTTAGAGACATGTTCTTAATAGGAAATACGGCAACGCAGTGCGCTTGCGGCTGTCAGTGAATTGTCATTGAGTTCTTTGTGATGCTACAACGTTTGAGTCGCCCGTCCAGTTGAGCCTTGCATTTCTTTGGGGACGTAAGGTCAAGAAGTGATTAGTTAGTGCAAAATTGGTGCAGAGCGAGACTTGAATAGAACCAACAAAGAAGATGTATGGGAATAGCTAGCAAACGTACAGTAGATCAAAAGAAATTTCCTTCGGTTCTCGTTTTATATATTTTTATTTAATATACATTTCATATAACACATCAAGTAGTATCTAGGAAAACTTTGTCTCATCGGCGCTTCTAGGAATTATTCTTGTTTATTGGAAACTTCGGTTGAAGTTGTGAGCGAGGTGAGTTTATTTTCCTTTTATTCAGAGTGGTAACTATTTATAGACTAACAAAGCCAATGTCAGCTCAGCTGATTCATAAAAGGGTAGCAGTAAATGCATGAGACAGCGTCGTTGCTGCGGCTACTTTAGCCCCACTTTGTTTCATTATATTTTAAGCATATTTCAAAATGAAAGAACATGAATAGGTTCGTGCCCCTTTTATATATCGATTCAAATGTAGTTCAATGAAACCTTAACAAGTAATTCATTTGATGGGATTAGAACTCACACTTCACATGAGATTTAGATTTCTGCTCCTTTATCTTATCATTTTTTTTTTGTATATATCGCAACAATGTGCGGTTTATAGAGAAATTACCAATAGCATGTACTTATATAATTCTAACGAAACAATACATTTGCTGCATCGTAAGCTCGATAGATATGGACAATAAGTCTCTTTACAACTTTTAAGTGATATTGCAAAAGCGGGATCTGCTTGATAATTCCGTTCGCATTTCGACTGTTGAATTGTTTCGAGTTGACATGCACGCATTCTGACCACATCGGGGAAAACATACTAAAGGTATTTCGAAGGTCTCCTTCGGCGTTTAATCACACGTATACTTCGTATTCTTGAAATTTTTATGTAAGCGAGAAGGAGGAAAGACGACGAACGCGCACGGCACCACTATTGCATGAACATCTTGCACACGGCCCCCATGAATGGAATTATATTTGCGTTTGTGTCGGGCCCATGTAGAAGGAATTGTGAATTTGTTTGTTTTGACCTTCCTAGTGAAATAAGTCAAACGTACTACTTACGTCAGCCGCGAACGTGCATTTCTGTTCATTCTTTCGAACATATTACATAGGTGCATTGTTCTATCATCATTCGAGGAGGTAGTGTGGAGTTGACCGCTTTGAATCTTCCCTCTGTGCGCATTCCTGAAGCATTTAAATTTACCAGTAAGCATTACTAGATGTTATTATATTATCAACTTTTCGCATTTCCAAAAACTTCATCTCAACTTCTCGTTTCCATTAAACCAATGTATCAACATAATGTATGATTGTATACTCGCTTCCTGTGATATCTGTTTCGATGAAGCTGTATTTAAAGCGTATTATTCTAAAATTTTATTTGTTTGTTAAATAATTTCAAACGCACAATACTTCATTCAAATAGACGAACGTGGAAGATAAAAGCTGCTAGTGGGTATGTTTACGGGTGCATATTTACAATACCTGTTCCGTTTGAATATTACCTGATGTATACAGATTTCAAGGCCGTGGCAAAGAATTGGTTGTATCCGTTTAAATTTTCTTTCCACATTATTCTACGTGAGTGGAAGAAATTGCTTTCCTTTTATTATTCACGGTAATCTTGCTTAATTCAGTTTGCTTGTCGACGATTTTGTGTTGTTTCAAGCTCAGGTGAACACGGAGAATTTCGCATTTATGTTTTTCATTTTATTTATTCTTCTACGTACTTATTTTAATCAATCTTTGTAACTAATATTGTTGTTATAAGTAGAATTGAAAAAAAAAATTAAGCGAAACTAAGTTAAAACATTTCTACATTACTGTACTTTAATGTTCATATTGTATGTATTGTATCTAATCTTTATTGGTTTTGTGTGAATATATTATATGTTTATATATTTGCTATTTAATATATTTCTACGTAGAAAAGCGTCCTCGACTAATTACTGTATTTACAAATCTGAAATTATATACAACTCAGTTTAATAATTACTATTTTATCACACAAGAATATACGGCCATCTAGGCCTGGGGTTCTTAACCGAGTGTCCTTGTGCTTGAAAGGGAAATTCAAGAGTTAAAATTATCCACATTTGGAAAAATTACATTATATTACAAAAATTATACAATAAAATATCATATTAAAATAGGAAAGTTAATCTTACTTCTTTTTTTTAACTCACAGAATATTTATAAAACTTCAATCATCTGTTTCCGTGTTACTGGGAACTTATATGAAGAATTTTATCTTGGAAATTTAGTGAATCACCATAATTATATCCACACATATAAACCTAGGTTTTTCCATTTCTTATAATAATTCCAAATGAATTGAAGAGATAACGAAATTCCCAATGTTAATTATAAAATGTTACCTACAATTTTTGTTTCTTTTTTATATATATATATATAATATATACTGAAATTCAGTCTTGTTCCAAATAATCAGTTTTTTTCTATTCGCAATCGTCCAAAAATCTCTCGATCGACGAGTAAACTTCCTCTGCTATAGAGAAACGTCTCCGTTCTATGATTATATTAATTCCAAATTGACAAAGGTTGCCGACACCGGGTACTATTCGCAACAAACGCTGGTTAACATTTGTAAGCTATTTTAAAGCTTACGAATGTTAAGTTTTAAAATGTATTCATTATAGAATTGAATAATAAAAGAACTTTAAAGTTATATTCATCACTCCAATATGCTGTTTCTTTATTTACTGGTAATATATATTAGTATATGGAAAATATAAGGATATTTATAATATCACACATGAAACAAGATATTTAACTGGGTAATACTTGATTTGAATTTTATAATCATTTATTTGAGATAAAATCATGGCTTGTGTCGCATCATTCTATCTTATCGTTTAGCTATGCGGAAAAAATAAGGACTGGTAATTAATAATTTACTGTGCATTTCGTTTAATTCACATAGTTCGGTATATTTAACTGATGATTAAAGAAATGTTAATGATTCGTCCAATTTGCTCGTTTGTTAATTATTGTTTTTATTTTGAATACAAATACCATACGTATTACTAATACCCTATAAATGAACAAATTTGTTAGTATGATTATGCGCTCTTTATTATGTGATTAATTCTTTTTTCCACGAAATAATTATGTAGTATCGGTTCGAGGTTCGCATCGAGCTTTTGTGATGTTAAATTCTAAAAGTATTCTCATCTATTGCATTCAATATATTTATTTTTATTACATTCTCACCAGTTCATAAGTTTAGTTTTACTCGTTTTGTACATTTCGATTAGTTGACCCTATTTAGTTTCTCTCTCTCTGATTGATCGGAAACTTTATTTGTGATAACATACGACAAAAAAATGATTTATAGTCGAGTTCAGATGAGTTTTAACTCGATGCGATATTAAAAATGATATCTGGCCTAAAATCAAATGCGAAAAACGCTTCAGATATATGTTACTAACTTATAAACTTGATTATTTTATAAATTAATTCTATAATCAAACTAGCCTAGATAACTTTAAATTGTAGTTTAAATCAGAGAGTCGAACCGAAATTAATTTCGTTCCGGCTTACGGTTACGTTCCAAGTAAATGTTTATCGTTCCAGATACGATTTCGGTTCGTCTAAAAATGTCGGTTCAGTTCCGGTTGAAATTTAAATTTAAAATAGCAATTTAAATTGGTTAGTTAAAATTTAAAATCGAGTCCAATTTTAATTTTATTTACAAAATTCGTTTAGTATTGTTTTCAATTATAAAATTGAAAATATAAAAGAAATAAAAATTAATTTGTGACTAGTTCAATACATGCACTTTGTAATGTTTCTTGAGTCATGTTTTCAGCAATATTCTTTTTAATCACTTTAATTTGAGTTTGTTCTAATGTTAGTTGCGCAAGACTTGTGCTTGCCCTTTCTTCTTAAAATTTTCTCTTTTTAGTCGGTGGTTGATTGGTGGTGATTGAGGCTCTATTTTTTATTGATGATTAAGCGTTCCCGTGAAATACGGCCTTGATGGTTTTGTTTATAATGTATTTGTTTATTTTAAAAAAGAATTCGGAGTATTCAAATAGACTTCATGGATGTCTCTGATACATTGTTTGTTTATATACTCTATTAATACCGAAATTAACCGTAATTTAAATTTCGTTCCGGTTTCGGTTTTGAAATTGAGCAATTTTTCGTTCCGGTTACAGTTACGGTTCAGTTAAAAATTCCGGTTAATTTCGACTCTCTGGTTTAAATATTGGATAGTAGGAAGACTTGTATCTATACTAGTATGAGCACCTGTGACACGGTAAATAATGGAAGATTAGAAACAAATGGTACAAAAATCAATAACAATAACAAACTATTTTATGCAGATTAGACGTTATATTTATATAGAAAATTATTTAAAGTGTGATGATTATAAATAATATGACTCAATACGAAGCTTTTGTTGATTAACATGTCGGTGGATTAATTATTTTATAAACAATTTCCTACTTTAGAAAGTTTGTAAATTTGTGATGCACCATTTTTTATTATTAATATTACTCATTTTTAATTTATAAAACAAAACTTGTGAAATATTTTATAGTATTTTATTTATTAGTACTATTTTATATTAAATTATAATGCAATATTAATAATTTTTTACTCACTATTATATTGTCACTATTATGTTTGTGACAAATACAACAATCTCAACAATTGTTTAATATTCGATAGTAATGTGTAATTCGATACAATGTATTGTTATTACTATCGAATATTAAATAATTGTTGAGATGGTTGTATTTGCCACAAAAAATATTTTTGCTTAATTCCTAAACGTATATAAATGTTCTATTATATACATAGTAATATTTAGTTTGTTTAATTACTAAAAAAGTTAATGTTTATTGGCTAAGAATAATAATTGTCATTGAAAATAATATACAAAACAAAGGATATTGGTGTTTTACACATTTTGTAATTATTAAACAAATATCAATTTCTAATTCTGTTGAAGAATCAGATTTAAATTATTTTTTATGATTTAAAATAGATATTTCTTGTTTCCTAATAAGTAATTGCAACAATTAAAAATAAAATATATATATCGTTGAATTTTTAAATATCTACGATTATTTTCAGATTTATAGTTTCTGAAATTTTGAAATGTTCTTACATGTAGCTTCTTTTGGTTTATATTGTTACACATTGTTCGAGTTGTTCTGTTTTTCGGTCTGGTTAACATTAAGCCCGAGGTTGTTACACAAATTCACAGCATAACCTGCAGCTTAACCTTAACTCTAAAAAGTAATTATTGTTAGTATCACAATTGAATACTAGCAATAATCACTTTATTGAGTTGAATTTTACAAATAGGAGAGTTTAAGAACAACTGATAAAATTGCGACTCAATCGAAATTATTTATAACGAGAAATGGTGCTGCAATTAATGTAATAATAACAATGTTGAATTATACAAATGAAAGTCAAATTGCATCTTCAATTATAAGAAGTCGCGTGTCCTCTGTAATTATTGCATTATATTTAATCGATATTGAATTACTCTCTAGTTTTCTCCAAGGATTAAATTGCATTCCTATGTTGATTCTTATCTGATCCACTTCAGAATGCAACTATGTTGCGTTGCATTGTGTCTAGAAATTTTATAATTCATTGATATCGCATTTGATGCGGCTCAGGAATCTAAAAATGAAAAAAAAAACGCAAGAGAAATTATGATAACAGTTGTCAGGAGTTCTTTAACGTCTCGTTTCGATTGTCCTTGTTCTTTGTCTGCTTCCGCCTCTGGGCATTAAAACGGAACGAGTGAATTGAAAGCAAATAAATTACATCACTAAATTACTCATCGGAAATTAGACATTCTTTCGGCCGAACTTATTGTGAAAGATAATGAAATTATATAATATTGCTGGAAGCAGGGTGATACAAAATTTTGTTTCCTACTAAGTGAAAGTTTTTAATTGATTTTATTAATGAATTGGTGTATAATAACATAACAATTAAGTCACTATACACGAATATACTGACTACTATCTTTTTGCTTTATCATCATCATCTGTATATATTCCTTAATACTGTTTACAAATTTAATGTTGAAAATTGTTTTGTTTTTTTCTTCTTTTATATAAATATTCAACAGACAAAACATTTAAATGACTTTCAAATAATAGACGGATGTCTCAACAACTTAGAAGCCGTTACATTTCAAATGAATGCGTGGGGAGTGCGCAGATGCGTTGTGAATTTTAGAATAGAAAATAGATTAATTTTCCATATATCTAAAAAATCTTTGTTTCAAAATAAATGTATCTCTTAGTTAAATTAAAAGTTTTAGCATAATTTATTGCAAATTAAACTTTGTGATCAAACTTTTCTATTCGAGCATAAATATTAAACAAAATTGAATTGATTAAACCTATGCTAATTGAGTCTTTATTTTGTATGTTATATTTGTATACACAATCCGATCGAGACATACAGATGCTAATGATAATTTGCATATATTATAGTTACATACTAGTCACATCTGATATTAAAAAATAACAATTATATTTTGATCATTAGTGTTAAGCCGACAAATTTCAGCTTTCAGTAAATTATCATTTACAATTAAGTTTGGTTAAAGGTAGACTTCGTTGTTTACAAAATTTTATTGTGCTTTGTTTGATAGAATTATTTTTTGTTTGATATATTTGCTTATGTTTTTACCTAGACTTTAAATATTGATTGTATCGTTGATTTTTCCCATAACTATACAGTGTAGATTAAATTAGTTTTTAGAATAATTTTCTTTGATTTGTATTTGTTTTTAATAATAACAATTTTATTGCAACAGTCAAGTTAAAAACATTTTTGAGTGGAAATAATTATAAAACAGAAAAAGATTAAATTATGTTGTTTACATAATAGAGATTAGTTTGTTTTGACTCCATACTTTCACTGCACCTCTTTTCTGTAAGATGGCGCCAATTCTATATATTTAAATTTAAACTTCAACTATACAATCTAGTAGTTTTATATGTTATATAATTGGTATTTAGTTTTTTTTTATTAGTTAAGTACATTTGCAAAGACATTTTAAGCAGCAATAAAACAGTGCAACTGTGTATAATTTGTTAGTGTTCGACCAATATTTCATGTACACACATGTATACGCTTCATTTGTATAGATTCGAGAAAACAAAGTAAATAAATAAAAATAGGACCGAAAAACGCGGTCAATACATTAAATAAATATTTGAAGATCTAGATTGCCATTGCAAAGTATCGAAATACAGTGAAGATAAATAAATAATAACAGTGAAATGATTATATTGTATGTATGTAGTTATCACTAGTAAACTGCCGATGATACATTTTAAATTTTACGATTAAAAATTATATTAAATACTCAAGAACGAGAATATTTCATAACCATCGATTTTTTTATTACCAAATTTGTTCTGTATCATGTATATTTATTTTCGCACTTTTACATTACATAAAATAATTTCCTTATATGGATACAATTTTATATTTATACAAGAACTGGTTTATTTTATGCATTAATGAATCAAAACTTGGATTGAGTAATGACTTTGATAATAATAATAATAAAGCCGTATCTAAATTTTGTTAAATTTTCGTAATTTTCTATAGTTACTTTTAATGATTATAAGTCATCGACTGTGATAATTGGATGATTGTGATATGTTTTTCGACTTTTCATATGAATTGTGTAAACGACAAAACAATATTTTTTTCAACAATAACAGAAAAGATAAAAGGAAAATAATTATCAACATTGGCGATAGACGACGGTAAACATCCGTACTCTTCAAAACCACTTCAATCTTTAGTACAATCATTTTTCTTTATTAGTTACTATTTGCGAGTTCACGAATTAATTTTGTTGTTTGCAGGGATCATGGGGAAATTAACAGGAAAAAAGTGCCGACTGCTGTCGATGTTATGGCTGACGACGTTGTTTTTCTTCGTCGAGATCATCGTAGGGTATTTGACTAATTCCATGGCTTTGGTTGCTGACAGTTTCCACATGCTCAGCGATGTTGCTGCTTTAGTCGTAGCCTTTTTATCGGTTAAGGTAAGTCTCACAGGAAGTTTTCTCTAGTTTATATTGAATATTTTATTTGTACTTTATTTCTTCTTTCTTTTCTGTAGATGTCTCCAAAGAAATGGTCAAAAAATACATTCGGCTGGGCTCGAGCGGAGGTGTTAGGTGCATTGGTGAATGCCGTATTTTTAGTGGCCCTATGCTTCTCGATAACAGTGGAAGCTTTTAAAAGGTTCATAGAGTTTGAGGAAATCCACGATCCGCAGTTACTCGTCGTTGTGGGGGTGATAGGCTTGCTAGTGAACGTTATTGGATTGTTTCTGTTTCACGGTAAATATATCTTTTATAAAGTATCCACTATACATCCACTAATATATAAACTATTATATTTATCGAGTATCATCCATATTTATTTTTAGATCATGGTTCTGCCCATGGACATTCTCACTCACATGGTCTGTCGAGGAGCAGAAATCGCCTGACACAGCTGGCAGTGACCGACGATAACGAGAACGACGAAACATTTCCAAGTCCGCCACCGCAACCTTCCACAGCCAAATCCAGCCATGGACACGGTCATAGTCACGGAGGGAGCAGCGCAGCTGGCGAAATGAATATGCGTGGCGTGTTCCTGCACGTGCTTTCAGACGCTTTGGGATCGGTCATCGTTATCATTTCGGCTGTCGTCTTTTGGCTGACCGATTGGGAATATAAATTTTACATTGACCCAGCCCTGAGCATCCTCCTTGTGATCCTTATTCTAAATTCGGTGTGGCCTTTGTTGCGGGACTCCGCTTTGATATTACTGCAGACGGTGCCAACTCACATCCAGGTCGACGCCATCCAGAGGCGTCTCCTCTCCAAAGTTGATGGGGTTTTGGCAATTCACGAGTTCCATATTTGGCAACTGGCTGGAAACAGGATCATCGCATCTGCGCACATTAGGTACTTTAATTCATCTTCTCTTCTAGCTTACCTAGTGCATCACATTATTAACATGCTTAATTGTCCTATAAACATTTGCTAAAAGCATTGTTTTTTTTTAATTTTCTTTCAACTACTGATTACAATTTATAAATTAATTCATGCAATTAGGACAGCATCATCACCTATCAATTTAATTATACCATATTATATTTAGATATAAATTATCTTTCATTTCACTTAAGCTTTTAGTACGATATATACAACCCATATAAATCTTGATCATTGTCATCAATTATTATTATGATCAAAATAACGCATTTCCACTTGTACATCAAAATATTTACTTTGTGATATATCACATGCATCCCAAGGTTATCGACCATCCTATTGTATGCATTATATCTCAAATATAGTATGATTTATACTATATGAAAGACTTTAGCATCATTTTGATTCGCATTATTGTGTTTCGCAATGGCTTGAGAATAATGAAACAATATGTAACCTATTATTTATTTAAACATTTTTATTATCATTTTTCTTTAGGAAAGTTAAAACATTATCTGAAATATCTCCGTCCTCAAAACTAATGATTTAGTACAGAGAAAATTAAAATGATCTGCTTTTTGTTTCTAGATGTAGGAACCTATCGGAATATATGAAAATAGCCGAGAAGGTGAAGGAATTCTTCCACAATGAGGGAATCCACTCCACAACGATCCAACCCGAATTCATAGATTTCACCGATTGCCGTGAGAATCCGGAGGAGAACGAGCAGAGCGAGAATTGCGTTCTTGATTGCCCGAAGACCAGCAGCGATACGTGCGTCTTGAACACATGCTGCGGCCCATCGAAACAGGTACACATACAGATTTGTTGATCGACACTAAAAAATACTAACCCATTTTATGTTTCCTCAATCAATCTCCAACCTCCCGTCACCCTACCGATATTAGTAGATCCTGTGTATGTCACCTAAAACCACCGACGAAATTATTAATTGTGTGAAATCATTTTTAATAAAAGACAACCCCTTCTTTTGTGTATTAAAAATATGTGAGGTGTTTTGTTTGTGTTAATACTTTTAAAATATTTTATTTACTATTATTTTATTATATAAATATTTTTTTTAATGTATTTATTAAAGTACAAGATTATTTGTTGTGTATTACAAAATTGTGTGTTTTTTGTTTGCCGTTTGAAGGGGAAAGAATCGCCGACACACGAAGATTCGATGTACTTGTGTAGACAGCGGAGTAGTGCGAGTTTAAGCTCCCGAAACCTGGAGACGAGCGACGTAGAGAAGGGCTCTCTACTGAATATCGGAGGTGCTTCTTCGCACAAGAGCGAATCTACCTGCAACCCGAAATGTATGAGCGTCAATCTCGAACACGACTGTGATTGATTGTGACAGAAACGTGCGAATGACTATAAATTATTAACCTAAAGTTAAACGAAGCGAACGGACTACATAATAGGAAAGGCTACCAATTTCAGTGCTGCCTTTTTGGCCGCTGCTTTCATCGGTTCTCAAACAGTTTTCATGCGGAACAAAATGCAAAACTATGTTTTTGTATTTAAAAAAAGTCTATTTATTATTAATAACATAAATATTTAAATCTAGTCTTTTTTAAATATTTAACATTACCGAATGTTTTTTTATATATATATATATTTATAAGTTTATGTGACTTTTCAGATTAAGGTACAAAATGTATTTTTAAATATATAGGATTATGATGAACAATCAAAGAAAAATAATTTAGTATTATAAATCGAGAATTATAATTTTCTTTTGTATTTCTATTTACGCAATCTATGGATTGTGTGTGATTATGATAGCAATCGATAATTTTTAATATGTATGAATTTTAAGTTGTAAATGTAAAATGGATTTCAAGGAAGACATATTATTTTCTTTATTTGTTTTGCATTGTTTTTTTTTTTTTGTTTATAACAATTGATGTGGAGATATTTGCGCGTTCAGTCGTTCCTATCATTGGCACCCTCGTCCAGTATACTTAAGGCTATTCCGAATTGTGCCACGTAATACGTGCTCATAATGAGTTCCTAAAAAATACACCAATTTTTCCATTAACAATAGATTTAGAATTCCAATCGACAACCACTCACCTGATCGTAGGGTATTTTGAACTTGAACCTATCCAATCCTATTATCAAATCGGATACCACGAAGCACACTGCCCCGATTGCAGTCAATATTTTCGTAGAAGTGATCGGTTTCTGAAATTGAAGAAGAAGGCCCCATGTTTATTATTATATTTAACAAAACTATTGTTTTTAATATGTGTGATTTAAGATTAGACTTTGCTAGTTTCTGCCGTTTTGTAAAATATTTTAAATCAATCATCATTACCCCGTTATTCATCCTAGAAACAGCTCTCCACATCATTGTATTCAAGATGATCGAATATATTGGGACACCTGGTATTAGAATACCAGTCAGGCCAGGCATTAAATATAAACAACCTAAAAAAAGCAAAGATTATTATTATATTGTAAGAATTAATAAATTGTAAATTTTATGAACACCTAAATATTAAACGATATTTAAATATTATTCCTCTTGTTCACTATGCCAGCGTATATTTAAGGTGTATTACAAACGTCTTAAATATGCTGCCAGAGTGTACACTTTGTTTTATTCATATTACCCAATGCCGTGATAGTGTATGTGACTACAGCTACTGGAAGATTTCTTGTGGAAAATCCGAACGCCGTGATGTAGTTGATATGACCGATTGCGAATGACAGCATTCCGAGTGGAAAATAGTCTGGCCATATTAAGCAGTAATCTCCGATACACGAGAATAAAAGACCGAAGAATATCCGTCTACCGTATGCTTGCACTCTGAAACAAAAGTGAATAATTAGATCGAATTCAACGGGAGTAATTATAAAAATTAGTTATCAAGAAGAATATTACAAATTTAACCAAAGCATATCTAATGTTTAGTCAGTTGAAAGAAATTAAAACAATAAGTAGGGGTGGCATATACTATCGATACGTACATGTATTTCCTTTAATTTAATGGAAATATACATATTTCTTGTATAGAATATGTTTTAAGAAGAAATAATATTAATTTATTGGCCGGACAAGAAGGAACATAAATGCAAATAAACACAAATTATGAACTCTGGGAAAGCATAAAGAATCTCTAACTTTCTTCCCAAAGAAGAAATAATTTAAAATTAAAAAAAATTAAACTGATAGTCTACCTAGATATTAGTTAAATGATCTCGAATGTAAAAAACTTATCTTCCAGAATAGATTTTTGTGTTAAGTGATTTACGAACAGGGTGGACAGCAGTCTTTGTCAATAGCCCTTTGTATTTTTTTGTACAATAAATTTTTGTATATTATTAATAATTTACGAATAATTCTGATGTATTTCGGACATAAACGAACTAAAATACTACAGTTTTCGACTACAAAAGTATAGGAATAAGATCAAGAAATTACAATTAATTTTCTTTAAAACATTTTTATATTCATTAGATTGATAATTGGAACGATTACAATTTATTATGTTGAAAACATGAAAATATAAATCAACTGTTTGATGGAATGAATAAGCATCAGTTTTTAACCCGTTGTTACCCGACCATATTTAAAATGAAGAAACTAAAATGTTTCTTTGGATTAAAATTAAGTTTCCTATAAATTTTTATTAAATTTCAGCAAAATTTTAAATGTAAAAAAGTGATATTTTAAATTTAGAACGTTAATAAGTGAATTATTTTATAACTTAAAAAAATAACCTGTACAGAATTGACAAGTATTACTTGAATGTACGTACCTACATTTCAAAACAAATCATTTTGTATACAATATAAAGATTACATTAAAGTATTTAGGTCTGTTTCACGTCTGTTTATAATTTAAATAGTGACATAAATATGAAGTACCGTCAGACAACAGAGTTACTACAAATTAAATTATATATTAGTACATAATTTGGTAATTTCTTCAAGTTCTTAAGAAACATTTGCATTACACTTGCGAATAGTAAAAACTACATTAACCACAAGTACCTAGATAATGTACACTTTCTAGTCGAGATATTAAAGCAAATGCTCTGTCTTAATGCACAGACTCAATATAGAAAACTTCAACTTTTTATAAAAAAAAAATAAATAAAAATGATACAGCAATACCTCGTATAGTGCGGGTAATTGATTCAGTGAATATTTTCAAAAAAATCTAAAAAGAAAGGTCCCGATTAAGTATAGGTTGGAAAGCACAAGTATAGAAGGAAAAAGATCAATTATCTACAAACAAATAGAATTTGTGATGTGATACAAAGGGGTCTTACAGTATAATGAGTCCGATGCTCGAGAGAATACTCACAAGATAATACAGGGAACCTACAAGTTATTAAGACACAGGCGGAGCGGAAGAGAAGACAGGAAATAAGAGAATAAACCGGGTACAGATATGTTGCAGCTTATATACCCTAACTAGGTAGTACCCTTATCAGACCTTCCCGGAATACCAGCTGCGGGTTGGAGTGGGGCGAACCGTAACGGGCTTGTAGGTGACGTCATATAAGCGGGCTGGAGTGAGCACCACATGCTTGTTTTGAAATTTTCCAGCCGTATTATAGTGATTCCGCACTGATCGATGCGAGGTATTGCTGTATTTACATTAAAATTATATTACATGTTTATAAAGTTTAGGAACATTTATAGTTCTTGGATGGTTAGTTTTAATACCACACACATTCTTATATAACAGGAAATATTGTAATATTTCAATTAAATGACAGACTGCTAAAATGAAATCAATACAATTTTAATGTTACATCCTTGCAATCACAGCTATACAACATGATCTCTCATATAAAGAATGTTGGAATTTCTCAGTATAAACAAAAAATTGCAAGCGATAACCAGGTGAAACTCCTGTCCAAAAAGAGTTAATTATTAATTTTGTAACATCGATATATATTATTTATTACATAAACCAGTGTACCGTACACAAGTAAATACAAAAAAAATGTTGTTAATGTTCCATATAAATCATGTAATAATTTTGGACTTATTTGTTGTTTGTTTCAATGTGAAACACACGTAACGTTTTATATTATTATCAGTGCACGAAAAAAAGTAAATGAATGAGTAGAATTAAAAGAAAAAAACGAGTTTATTTATTTCTGAGCTGGCTGGGTTACAGAGCAGAATAAATGCGACGCGTTATTACTGTTGTTATTAAACTGGCCTTCTAGTCTGATAACGAATGACCACTCCATTCGTTACTACTTGTGTGTTTATTTAAGATTCATCTTAGCGAACTTTATGCCCTGAATGTAGATGATCGTACATAGAATATACACTTCGACAAATGATGTAAATAGAAATATTTGAGATTTTTTTATGTGTAAAAAGCACTTCAGTGCTCATTTAGATCTGAAGTGTTTGCTTAAAATCGACTAAGCATTATTATAAAGTGGCGATAAAGATATCCTCAAAATATATTGTTTACTTGAATTTAGCTCTTTGTACATGTATTTGTATATTTTTATCTAGAATGTTGCTTTACAATATAATATAAATAATTTATAGATAAAGTTAATTATCTAGTTTTGATTAACTAACTAATCTAAAATTTTATAATTGGAATCTGATGTATTTAAATTCAAATTCCATAAAACAGAAAATATTGATTAAAAGTGTACAATTGCAAAAAGTAAAATACTTTTTGTCGTGGCAGATCATTAAATATCAATCACTATTGTATTCAGATCAAGATAGCCAAGAATGTACTATTTCTACTATTTTAATGCACGGAATTAAGATTTGTGCAATTTTAGATTGAAACGGTGCGATTAAATGTAATAGTAATTTTACACAAAAATACTAAAAATTACTTCTTGTTTCGTTATATTATAAATAATATGTTTACATTGAGAAAGACTAATTTGTATGTAAAACTATATAATAGAACAAATATGCATATTCTTATTGTTGAGTATTATATTTGTATTACATTGATGTAATTGTTGTTACAAATATAATTATATTAATTATTTTCAATGATCCATTTGGACGAAAGGGACCATTTGGATGAATTTATTATGACAAAAATGCGTTGTTCGAAGAAAATATAAAAAAATCGAATATTAATTAAATGATTTTCCAAAGAAGTACAAATCAAATTCAAACATCATCATAATTTAAGTGTGCCGAAGAAGTTGTACTATATGTTCAAGAGTGCCAAGGCATATAAAAAGGGTTAGAAAAAAGCCAAACTTAGAATGAATCTATAGATGCAGTAACATGACAAGTCTTTGTACTAATTTCATTTTGTTGTTACATATAAAACGCACTAAATTCCATTCCAGAAATACACAAATCCATCCACGGTAGTAACCCCGAAAGTATGGATCATTTGCCATATTGATTTACTATCCGCATTAATTATTTATCCGGCACGTCCAATGAATATGTGATTATGTTCTAAGAATAGAAAAAAAAACACGAAATGTGTTATGTAGGAAGTGCACGGAAATGAAAAGCCATTAATTCTGTTAAAATGATTACGAATCTAATACCTCCCCGCCATCATCGATCATACAGATTGTCTAATTGTTACATTGTTCTTCGTGTAATTATTTAGTTTTGTTCATTATACAATTATCGATTATATGGAGTATTTGTTACAATACACAAATGTTTTTGATACAGATTTTTGTAATAGTAGAAGAGTTATAAATCATGATAAATATGAAATAGATATTATTTTCTTTAATATAATATAATTGAGAAATTTGTTTAAAAACTTAGACAGAACTAGAATTGAAAGAAACGTTTTATATGCATCGACATTACGTAGGATTGTATAAAATAATTTAGTTTATTCTTTTCTGTTATATTATATTAACATTACTACTCTATTTTCAAATCTATTTTGTATAGTAAATAAATAAAAACAATTAATGTAATTCATAAAATACACTGGTGTTGTAAATCGAGGTGTTAATCTAATACATAATGTCAGTACTAAAATAATACTGTTTGATATTTTGGAAAATAATATTTTACATTAAAATGTTATAATTGATGTAGTATTGTTGGAATTTAAGATATTTTTTTGAATAATATTTAAAATGAAAAAATACATTTTTAATCATTTTTTATTGCAAACCAGAATAAATAAATCACTGAATGCGTTTAAAATTGTATTCATTATTACAATTATGACCAAATCGTAAAGCTTTTGATAAATAATGATATCTACATAACAAAAATGTTTGCGATATAGATCTAAATAAATCATTCAATCAATATAGATTATTAATTAATGAATTTATCGTAGTATTATATGCAATTACTAAAATAAATATATACATAAACGAGATAAATAGTAAATACAATAATTGAAATTGCCCGATTCGATTGGGTACAGCTGTACCACAGGGAAGCATCTTGGGACCGGTGTTGTACAACATATTTACATCCGACCTGCCGACATCCCGATGGGAAATCGTTCCGCTCACCATCTACTGTATTTTGTTTTTCTGTTTTTGTCTTATGGCCAAAACATATTCTACTTATTGCCTAAATATTTTTAGTTTAGTAATGTATTGTAATTCGATAGAGCGATCACTTATCTTCGACATTGTGATATTCAACGATTAAATATAATCTATGTCCTTGTTCATTTATGTTATCTATAGGTTAATAATCCGAATATTCTGCAATTGAACTGCATTAAAACTGCTATAACTTTTGAAAATGCTGTGCCCATATTTCGCCTAATGAAATCTGATTTTATTATTTACAAGCTGGCGGAAGCATTTGCATCTCAGTTTATTGGGAAAAAAAATATTTGTGATGGAATTCAAATGCAATAGTTTGATAGACCTTTATTGGAGCGGAAAACCAAAAGTGGCTATTGTTAGAGCACTTGAACACCTCAATATGAATAAATCGTTTGTGTCTCGAACCATAACACATTATAACGAAGCTAGTAGTATTACAAAATCCTATTTTGGTGGTCGGAAAATAACTACATCTGTGGCAGAAGTTGTTCGGAAAGTTAAGGTTCAAATTGATTAAATCCGCGACGTAGTGGAATACAAATGGCTACTCAGCTGAACATACGATAAAATAATCATGCATCGAATACTCAAAAATGAACTCAAAAGACCACAAGTAGTCAAGCACCACCGTTTGTGGTAGTTTTGGAGGCTGTGACGGTCGATAGTCGCTCTCCGTTGTTGTTTTTGGACCGTGCGAATGTCTATCACGATAAAGTTTTGGAAGGTGCTCTGTAGCCGTGGGTAACCAAATACTTCAATCAGAAATAATTGACGTTTCAAAACCATCACACTATTCTGCACCATCACACGAAGCACGCGAAAACCAACATTGGCTGAGAGATAACGCTCCAAACTTCATTTCGATTACACAGTGCAAACCCACTCGACTTCTTGGTATGAGGCATTTTACAGGTCAATGTCATAACTAAAAAATACCGTGAATGGAGGAAGATTCCGCAGGTTCACTTTCGTGTAGCGTGCGACTCCCTTGTCGACCAACTCAGAGCCATAGTTCGCGCTAAAGGTGGCCATATCGAAAATTTTATATGAATTCGAAAAATTTAAATGTTTTCCAACATGTTTTGCTTATGGTTCAATAAAATCCAATTTGAAATAAAAAAAATACAGCGTTCTGAAAAGTTGCAGTTCAATTGAGCCACCATGTATATATTAATATTTGAGAGTATAATGAAACATATGAAAAATATATCTGAAAATAATCATCAAAACTATACAATCTTACATCAACTATACAAGGTACATAACATTATATTATGAATATATACAAAAAATCTTTATTGCATAATTTAAACAAGTACATTTGCACTTTAGTTTTATTAGATAATATTATAGTTTCAATTTTAGCTCTAAGTCAAAAGGAAATGTACAAAGGTGTAATAAATTAATTTATTTAAATTTAAAGAGTATTTTTAAATAGCGGTCGAATCGAGATTGGCTCTAAATATTTCAACTAAATAAAAGTTTCTCTTATAATGCAATTCCTATGTAAAATTATGAATCTTGATTAAATTTTCATTATAATTCTTATACAAAAATCTAACAACCCATTATTGCCTTTATTATTATGGATTATTCACATTTTTTTAAAATATATATTATTTTGTTGAAAAATAATACATCTTTTAGCACTTTCTAACGCTTAATTAACTGTTGGTAATATTAGTTAAATGCATTTAGCGATGAATAAAATTATGAATTTATCTACCAACTTCAAGAATCTCCAAATATATTTTTATCTAATAAATAGTAGTACTAATTGAATGAAAAGTGCAGCTTGAAATGGGATAATTAATGGCACGTGGCAAACATACTTCATGCATGTTTTTTTTTTCTAGGGCATAATTATCCTGTTAGGCATAGCACAATGCCGTGCGCTTATTTTCATGTACATGCATTTTTTGCTACTCAATTTGCATGTATATTGTACATACTAAACACATTTATAAATACATAAATCTGTTTTTTTACATCAACACATCGACGTAGATCAAAATCATCGCATTTATGCAACACATAATTGTATAAATAAAACTTTTTAATTAATAGTTTCTGTTTAACAACGTATACTAAAATATTCAGAGACGAAACTGATGGTTGTAAGAAAAAAAAAACGTGCAAATCACCAAAATCTTACAATCTCATAAATACGAATTTATAAATAGCAATATTAAATTTAGAAAACCGGTTTAAAATTGAAAAAATAAATAGTCGCATGGGTTTAGTTATATAATTGTGAAGCGTGTTCTGTGTATTATTTAAAAATTAGATGTTGAAATGAGAATACGTATTGTGTAGAATTTTACCTCGTCGTTTTGATAAATATTAATGGGCATATTAAAACTAAATTTTACATCAATTACATTGAAAAACCTTGATCATTGATCTTTGTTAATCGTAATAATTGTAATTTAATAACTAATTGAGTTTTCTGAATATAATAAAACAGGCGTTGTTCATAAGATGGATAAATCGCAGGCTTTCTCTTATTTTCTTTTTAACATGAATCACATGTAGCTGGAAAAAAAAGTTTATCGTAGTCCTATTTATAAGTTGACCGTGGTTAAAAGCAATAATCTCGTATTTCAAGTTTATCAGACACTTTTTTTCTGGCTGAAAAGCGTTCGCAAACTCACCTAACATTGGAAAACTTTGAGTACCAGACGACGAAGATCATCAATGTGATTATGGGAAGGCATTTGATAAGTGCGGCCAAGTAAGTCGGTTCTGTGTGAGGAATGAACACGCTGAAGTAGAGGATGATGGCAGCGAAGAATGGTACCAGTTTCAGTATCTGCAAAAATTAATCCAATATTTTATTGCACTTAAAAGCAACGAAATAAAAAACGATGAAAGAGAATGAAGTTCAATCGCAGGGATTCTCGCGATCGATTTCACCTCGAGAAGGAACAAACAAAAAAATAAGTGAACGCGATAAACGAACGGATGCAGATAGTGATTTGCTGTTAATTCGGACTTACCACAGTAATCATTGTAGCAGAATAAATGCACGTCTATCGGCAGGATAAATTTATTTCAAAATAAGCACTTATCAAACAAAGAAATAAAAAAAATGTTAAAAAAGGATGCGCAACACTAATACATTCGATATCAAAAAAGCATCGCGTCTCATCAACAGATTTATGTTCGTGTGCACTGATATTTAGAGAGCGCGTGTGAAAGAGCTTCTAGTCCGACGTCCAGATCAGCTGTATTCACTGTGTTTATATTATGGCCAGAAATATTCAATTGCAAATATGTTGCGCGCATGTCTCACGCTCAACCCAGTCCACATACTTCTATAATTACAATACTCCTGATATGATAAACCCGATACAATGATCGAAATATCTATACATTCGCGACACTCAAATTCCTTTTCTACCGCCATCAATTACTATTTCGCGTGGCTTATCATTGCAGTAACCAGAAAAAAATCGCGTATATTTCAAGTACTCTATGAAAATCGCATCGTCATGAAACCTTAGTAAAATAATTTCTCGCATTTTTCTATATACACAATTGATCTACTTTACAAGTAATAAACAATAAAGGATCAATTTCTATCATTCTTCTATATACCATCTGTTTAATATAATTATACCAATTACATTTTAAATTGAAGGCAATTATATTTCTTGTCGCATTATACCATCCGCATTATTTGAGTATTATCTGATAATCCCCTAAGACTAGAGGTAATTTCTTTAAAATTAAAGTACATTGCTATTGATTGATCTAATAAAATATTTTGTTTGTAATAGTTTATTATCTATTATCTAATGGATAAAAAAATAGATTATACTATAAAGATTATATAAAAGATACATGTATCGATAAATTTATATAATGTAAAAAATAATTTAAATTACGTATCACAATTACCGATACACAATTACAACGCATTTATTTGAGCATTTTAGTGGTTTTATTATAAATGTGTTTTTGTATAACTATTGAAAAAAAAAACTTTATTTTTATAAGTAATTAATAGAGTAGCTTAGTAGATCTCTGTCTTAAAATAAATACATTTATATATCGCTAATATTATTTGTGAGTTACAAAATTTTTGATAAAATTCTGAATAAAAATAATCTTATATGTACATAAAACATAAAATAATTATTTAGTTCACTAAAACCTTGATCTAAACAATTAGCCAATATGTTTTTTTATGCGTTAAATAAATAATATTTGTATATTGTTTAAATTCATGTTTTTGATGTGATGATCTTAAATATATGTAATATTCAAAAACTAGATATTAGAAATGATTAAAATAGTTTTATTTACATTATGATCATGACAAGTTACTAAATAAAGTAGAATCAATATTCGTTTAAATGTTTATTATAGAAAAAAATATTTTGGTGGATTCGTTAATAGAACTCTTAACTAAACAATTTATACTACAAAAATCAGATGATATTAGCTTAATGACTGTTATTTGCAAGATCTCATTCTAAGAATACGATAGTTGCTGTTATAGTAATTGATTACTTTAACTTTAAAAATAGTTTTTCTTAAAACTTTGTATTTTCACCTTTTTTTTTAGTCAACGGTATTTTAAAATTACAAAATTGTATTTGAATGTGATCTTTTATAGTAATTTGTCAGTAATAATATAATAGGAATTATATAGATTATTAATTGTCGCGCGTTGCGTTTTGTTATTAAAAGTAAAAGTTTTTGTTATTAAAAACTTACATCTATATAATCTTCTTTCTAATAAAGTACATTACAGTGGAACCTCGCTTAACGAGTTTAATCCGTTCCAAAATTTCCGGATTTTTACTCGTATAGTGAAACATATTCAAAACATAATAATATGTGTACACAAGTTTTAAAAATGATAGCAGGTGTGCAATCCGGGACTTCCCTTCTCATCGTTACTCGTTATGCGAGGTGCTCGTTAAGCGAGGTTCCACTGTATATTTAATATTAAATTGACATTGGACCAAGTAATATCCGCAACACACGTTGCTTATCTTTCGTAAACTTTTTGTTTGTTTCTATAGCGATTAATATCTTTATGTAAATAAAGTTTTTTTTTTAATGATAATGTGTAAATTAAATATAAAACTAAAATTACCATTTGGTAAATCCCATAAGTGTAATTTTATGGTATTTCGTCCATTCTTAGAGAATACCTATGCTCCCGACAAAAATCCGCAATGGTCATATTTATGGATGTTTTTTTTTAAACTATGACATTTCGATGACAAGAATTTTCACTGTTTACTTTCAAATTTCATTTGCAAAACTGTTTCATAATACAAAATGAGAAGAGTAAATATAAACAATTATCAGCATGTATTTAGCAACACAGTTCTATTTTGGTGTCATGTCGATTATGAACCATAATACATTTATATTTGAGTGACTTCAAGTTGACTTTAATGTTTAGTTAATTCGATCAAAAACGAAAATAAGGTCAACCATGATGGCATTGACGTACATAAATATAATTAATTTTTATAATGAAATTATTCTGATATTTTATCTCAATTATTTTCTTTTAGCTTTCCATTTGTATAAATATATTAACTACAATTTTCTTTTAAATGTTAAATTACAATATTTATGATGTGGATGTAGTCTGCACTTTTTAAAATACAAAATTATGTTAATATAATATGCTGAATTTTGTCAATTCGTTATAAAGTTGTAATTTGTTGTAATTCTAATTAACTCATATTATCATAAAATATTTCTTTTCAAACTTTTAAATTAGTTATATATTTTGTATGTTGGAATTGAATGTGCTATTGAACTTTAGTTCTTTCAAATTGGACAATCAAGCCTTAACTTCTCCACTCTGACCTTTCTTTAGAAAAGGTTGAATATCTGTTTAGTAAATGCAGATAATAAGTTTATTTTAAAATTTCAAGACCCAATTTTTTAATTTTTTTTTTATAATTTTTTTATTTACAATCTGCCACATGCTGGCATCGAGTAAATTGTTTTAAAACTGTAACAAAATATAATACTGAGCGGAATAGTTTCCCATTGAAAACCTTCCAAATTACATAATATAAATAAATATTAATTATAACAATAAAAACAAATAACTAAAAGCATTCTTCTAATTTTAAAATCAATAAGGGAGATCAAAGATGTTATACCTTTTTAGTCTATGGATTGTTTCACTATTGTCTAATAAATTCGTAACTAGCACCCCAATGCTTTTCTAATATAAATATCCTAATTTATTTACCATAAGAAATACATTTTCATCGTTTTTTTTTAAGTACCTCATGATTTATGGTATTTATATTTCTAAAAATTCCGTTACTAGCACGCTATATACTATATTCTTAACTTTACTGCAATTATTTTGCAATTACTCAACGTTTCAATATTTAAAACTGTATACATAATCCTATTACAGTGGCTCCAATTACGTTTCAGTAACTGAATAATATTAATAAATTTCTATTAATTTTAGTTTAAATGAAAAGCAAGACAAATAAAATGCATTTTGAAATGTTATTCATAAACTGATTTATTTTTTAGAAATAAATTTCAATTGTGCAAATCATATATTACTGTATAATAGCGAACTCTTGGGTCAGTTTATTGCTATTCAGATCATATACATAAGAAATAATCTATATTTGTACATGAGTCATTAAGTTTATCTATATCGCATTTTTTTTTTCAGACACATTACAGCAAAACAGTTTTGTTTCGTATATTTATTAGATAATAAATGCAAGTACAATTATTTTTAGAATATCATCTTGCAAATAACTTACCATGTTCTTGCACTTATTATCTTTTATAATACTTATGTATAGTTTTATTTTATTTATAATTTAATTTTAAAAAATGGTCAATAAATTATTTTTATAAATAATGGAGTTAGTGAAGAATATTAAATTGTGATGATATTTGAACATTAATGGAGGAATTGAAGGCTTAAAAAGTTTCAATCATTGCATTGTCGAATGATAAAACTTTTGTAATAATTTTTATTTGGTGTTTCTATTATATGAATATTATAAGTTATAATCAGTACGATTTTGACAGCAGCTCTCTTGGTGCAATCATAAATTTAATCGAATTTAATAAATTCATGTCAAGACACGTCACAGTGTTTGACGCTATTGTTTGTTACTTTTTTTTAAATAATTTATATAATGTTTCCAGTGCACAAACATTCCTATCTGCAATGTGTGACGAAGATCGATCCACGGATTATAAATCGAACAGTCGATTTAGGTCTTTCCTCACTGTCGCCAAATTCTTTGAATTAATTTTGCATGTTGTATTGATTGTTTTACAGCGAGGGATAACTACACGATCGATCAATTCGACACCCTACCGCCGTTCAACAGATTGTGCTCAGAACAACCGAATATACCAGTATGCAGTTGCGATGTCACCAGAAGACCGGTTGGTTTCGGCCGATGGGGAATGAAAAAATTGGTATCGTATTACCTACCACTGATTATTTGATAATCTGCATTGAACTATTATCAAAAATATTAGAGACGTGAGTTGCATAGCACGAATAGGTGGACTGTGATGCAGGCTATACACAGCATTGGCGATTTAGTCTATGATCCCGAGAGGAATTTCGAAGCAATTCGATTGAGAGTACCGGCAAGGTACTCTATATTGTTTCTCTATTCTTTTTTAAATAATATAGTGTAATTGTTTAGATTTTCGGACTTAGTGATCGACGAAGACCCAGCTGTAAGAGAACGGGTGTGCATGGTTTTAGCGACAATTTCGAACTTACTGGATGGAAAATATTCCATTCTGAAAAACCATAGGATGATCAACAATTTGGCGAGAATTTTAAACGACGAAGAGCCGGCCGTTCGGATGAAAGTCATTGTTTTAATAGAAAAACTTTCAAAAGTCTGGATGTGTTAGTTTTTCTTTTTCAATGAAATTATAAATTATTTAAATTCTTCGCGTTTTGCATAAATAACAATATCACCAAAATTTCAATTTTTAAGTAATTTTTAAAGTTTTAATAGTGCGAATGCAAGTTTCACTAAACAATATATTAATAATGTTTTGTAGGTGCTGATATTTTGGTAAATAACGGATTTGTCGAAATGATCATCGAAAGATTGGATCAGTACATCGAAGATGACCCATGCACGCCTTATTACCTAAGAACAATGCAATGGTTGATGTATTGCACTGGAAAATACATCGCTATCGAACGTGGCTTCCATAAAACATTAGTTGGGAATTTAAAATTGTATTACAAAACGAATCAATTTAAACATTGATTTTGCAGACTACAATCTTATATAACGATACGAATTGCGAAGTACTTGCAGAAGCTTTGAAATGTATGGCCATGTTGATAAGCACACCCAGAGGAAAATGTTTCGCCATCGAAGGCAATCTGCTGATAAAGCTTTACAATTTGCTGCACGATCAAGTATATAATATTAATTGCGGAAACAATTAAAAGAAATTCTAAAAAAAATAAATGTTTCAGCGCCGTGAAATATACAGTGCCGCTGCAGGTTGCATGGTTTTCGCAACGATAAAAACTGAAGCAATACTAAAGGCCATAGAATTACCGAATTTAATTGAACGGTTGCTTATTTTAGCTAGAAGTCACCATGACTTGACTACGCAAATCCATTGCATTCAGGTAATTAAAAGATTTCATTCAAGTTTTATATATGTTTTCTTATTAATATTGTCAGGTAATAACAAATCTATGCGGTCATGGAAAAGTAAGGAAGTACGTGCTGGAAACTTATTCGGATAAAATTCGCTCAATATATACGCAACATGACGAGCAAGCTGAACGCTTCAAGCATAACTTGTTGACTTTACAGTTTTGATTTTCCTAAAGAAATGCAAATATGAAAATGGAAATAAAATACTCTCGTTTCCAGATAAAAATATATTTGATACTTATATCACCGCTATATCACCCAGTTTAGTAAATCTTGTATTATTTTCATTTATTAAAAGTCAAGTACTGATTCAATTGGACCACAAGTAGAAATAATTACTTTGCCAGAATGGTAAATATTTGTTAAGTGGCAAACAGATCATCGAAGCAAACGGAACGCTTTTGCTTAGTGCATTAAGCAGAGCCTCGATACGCTTCTTGCTTTGTTTCTCGTAGAAAGGCGATCTGAGCAGATACATCAAGAGACCAACATACCTCCTAGACAATTGCATTTTTTGCTTCTTAGTCAAAGAATCCTGCTTTTTATTCCCTTTATTATACAAATGTAAACTGCAAATAGAAGTTACTACTTAATCCAATTAATAATTATTTAACGCCTCACCTGCTCGCATCCAAAATCAGTGAAATGGCCCAAGGTTTCCATGTTTGTGTCCCAAAGCAGGCCATTGAAGCTAAATGTACCATCGGCTTTAAAATGTAAATGCTTTCAGCAATTAACTGCTGCCCAGCAAGCGATTGTTCTATTGTCTGCTCATTGTCGAAAAGAGCCCTTTCAATAGGCTTCCAGTTCCTTGAACCAACTGGTGGAGAGGCATCTATTTTCCTGATTGTTTTCCCTGATCGCTTCAAATTGAATGAAATTGAATCTAATTGAGCCTGAGCTAATTCTGCAACCCCATTTTCTTGTTCAGCCTTTTTCATATCTCTCCTATACAATGGAGGAATTGGAGGTTGCTGGATTATATTTTCTTTATGATGATAAACCAGCATCAATCTTCCAATGCACCTGAAAAATAAATAAACATGTTACTATCTAACTATCAGTATTTAATTTGCTGGATTTACTTGAAAAGTTGAACAGAAACAACTAGGATCCATTTAGCAGAAGTACCCCATAATTTCTTTACAGAGAGCTCCAAGAAAACTTCACAATATTCTAAAACTGTCAGCCATAATTTCAGCTGATCACCACTTGATGGAATTTCCAATTTTTGTGCATCAGAGATGAGCCTATCATTAAAAAGAACCAATAAATTTGATAAACAGTACACCAATTCTGATAGAATATGTGAATTGTTAATTCTGCCTGAAAACGAAATAGAGAAAAATCATGAGTTTTATTAATGACAATTGTATTTATTTATTCTTGCATTCTAACCTGCTAAAAAGTAGCTAATCCACTTTGTTGTCATTTCGTAGTCGCTGGCTTTCAGTGGATTCTGACTCACCCATCTTTTGTAAGCTGTATAAAATTCCGGTAAAGAAAATATTAAGGAACTCATCGTTTCTTCTTTCACTTAATTTCTTCCGATTGTATATTTATTTTAATTAAAGTGCAAACACATATGAAAACATATTTCAGCTAACTTCAAGTCAGTTATTACTTGTTACCAATGTATTATGTAAGGGGCAAAAGGCCATTATGGTATGATGATGGGTCTTGACAAATAAAGTAGCAAATTTACTGTTCTGCCATGAAAACTTAAACCAAAACAAAGCTAAATCTTATTTAATAGTAAACATCATTAATGTGGTGATAATATAATATTATCGTAGATAATACATACTAAACAAATATACATATATATATTTAAAGGTTTTAGTAAATTAGGTATTGTTAAATATAGTTATAAATTAAAATATTATAATAGGTAGAGCATTCATAGATTATTTAACTTGATCTTTGACAACCCATTCAAATTTAAGGTACCATTGGGAACATCCTGGTAAAATATAACTTTTATTTTGTTTTCATTATTGTAATTTTTTTTTCAATTTTAACCTAAACTATATCGGAACAACCGGAACGAAATTAATATCTCAGGACTTTCACGTCCATTGATGTTAGACCAGCATTAATTGAACAATTTAAATTAGTTCACAAAGTCGATATGAATATCTAACATATAGAGTTTACAAAAATTGAAGATTTCGAGACCCGAAAAAAAAAACAGATTATGTTGATGGGTTCATTATTTTGTTATTTATTTCAGATGATGAAAATGAACACAAATCTGCTGTCAAGCTGACATAACGTCGTTAATTGTGTATTTATTTTGTTTATTTCTGTTTTTTTTTTCAAAACAATACTTTATTTTTCTTTTAATATATTTTTATGTTTATAAATTACAATTATTTGCTTTGGTGATATGAGTATTTTCATATCCATTTTAGTTCATTATGTTCGAAGATTACTGAATTAAAACTTATTTTTTTTTGTGTTCAAAGGACTTTAAAGTTTAAATCACATACAAGTTCAATTTATAAGTAGTTTAACTACTCTAATTCAATTACAGTTAAGAGCTGATTAACGTATATATGTACGAACATAAAATGATGTCAGTCGGAACAGAGTACCAATCTGTTAATTATCTATAGACCACTAGCTTTTGTGATAGTAGAGAATGAGTTAAAGCTGATTCGAATATTATAAAAAAAAACATTGTTCATATATTTAAAGTTGATTATTAAACAAAAATAGGATTTTTAACAACATATACACATATATCTCATATTTACAAAATAAAATTAAATAAGATACACCAACATGTGCTGGTGTATTTAATGCATCGACTTATTCTGGGCTTGCCACAGTTTATAGTAATAACTGTTAGTATCTTTAATAAGCTCCGAGTGGCTACCAATTTCGGTGACTTTTCCACCATTCAGTACCATAATCTGGTCAGCATCCACAACAGTGCTCAGTCTATGAGCAATGCATATACTAGTTCGTCCTTCCGTAGCTCTATGCAGTGCTTGCAGAATATTCTAAAACAAGTCAAGTTAATAACATGGATTAGGTTTAAATTAGGCTTTTACATATTCCGTGATAGAGTCCAATGAGCTGGTAGCTTCATCGAACACCAAAATTGGCGAATTTTTCAGAACTGCTCTGGCGATCGCCACTCTCTGTTTTTCACCACCCGATAATTTTAATCCTCGCTCTCCGACCTGGGTCTGGTATGCATTCGGCCAATCCGTAATCGAATCGTGCAGATCTGCCATCCTTGCCGCATTGAAAACGTTATCCTCTTCTGTTTTCAAATTTCCATAATGCAAATTATGCATGATTGTGTCGTGGAACAAGACGCAATCTTGTGGAACAACGGCAACGGATCTCCTCAGACTATCTAAATTAACTTCGTTTATATCTTGATTGTTAATCAAAATCTTTCCACTCTTCGGTTCATAGAAACGGTACAGCAATCGCACAACCGTTGATTTTCTGCAACACGAATAACGTAAATAAAAATATCAAATAAATTGTATTTTCTTACCCCGAGCCGGATCCTCCTACTATCGCAACTTTTTTACCCGCTGGTATAGTAAAATTAAGATCTTTTAAAATTTCCTTGCCAGGTCCATAATCAAACGACACATTTTCAAAAACTATTGTTGAAGTTTCTGGTGTCACATTTATTAATGGTGCAAATGCCTTATCCTATAAAACACAAATTAATATTAATATTTAAATAGTGATATTAATTTTAAAATATAAACCTTAATTTTAGAATTCATAGTCATAAGTGTAAACATTGTTTGCATATCAATCAAAGCTTGCCTAACTTCCCTGTAAACACTTCCAAGGAACCCAAGAGGAATTGACAATTGGAATAACAAACCATTCACCATTACCAAATCGCCAACAGTCATATTACCTATATATAAAATATACATTTATTTATATTCAAATAAACATCGTAATATATAAATTACCTTTAACTATTTCATTGGCAGCCAAAACCATAATAGCACTCAGTGCTGCACTGAAGATAGCATTTTGTCCAAAATTGAGCAGAGCTAAACTGGAACTCGTCTTTAAACTTGCCGCTTCGTAGACTTTCAGTACTTCGTTATATCGATCGGCTTCGAATTGTTCGTTATTAAAATACTAAAAATTTGAGTTAATAAATACAATAATACTGATAATTCACATACCTTGACAGTTTCGTAGTTTATTAATGAATCTATCGCTTTATTGCCAGCCTCGTTTTCGGCTTTATTCATATACACTCTGAACTTGGTGCGCCATTGAGTTACAGATAGAGTGTAAGCTGCATAGACTCCAACACATCCCATTGAAATGCCTAATATAAAATGATTTAATAAAAGCTAAAGATTATGCACAATTCTAATAACATACCAGCAAATGCAGCTCCGCATTTTACCCCTAATATAGTAGATACTAGAGCCATTTCAAAAATGGTAGGCACAATGTTGAAGACCATTGCAGATAGAACAAAGTTTATTCCTCTGGACCCTCTATCAATTGTTTTAGACAAAGCTCCTAAAATAGTAGATTATAGAAAATCGTCATATTCATGTCAAATTTCTAATATTTACCTGTTCGCCTGTTCAAGTGAAAATTTAAATCTAAATTGTGTAAGTGCAGAAACACGTTATTAGCAATTTTCCTAATCGAGTGCTGTGCAACTCTCGCGAAAACAGCATTTCTTAATTCGTTAAAAGCCGAAGATCCAGCTCTTGCAACGCCGTCTGAAATAGAATTTCAATGAAAGAACTTGTTTCCATGATTAATATATATAATTTACATCCGACTAAGATAGTGGTTGCAACAGTAGCTATAGTTTCTGGAGCAGTGTTCATGTTCAGAGTGCTTCCAGCATTCAAATAATCTACAGAATATTTAAAAATAAACGGTACAGCCACATTCATTAACTTAGCTCCTACCAACAACCCAAGAGCTAAAGTCACTCTGTCTCTAATTGATTTATCATCAGCTGGCCAAATGTATTGCAGCATTGCCTGAACCATTTGTTTGCCAGTGACTGGTTCATTCTCAGTAACAGAAATGTCATCTCGAGATAGCACTGAGGCTCCAGGGTGGAAACAACCTCTTGTTGGCTGGCTCTTTGGTGCAAATGATAGCACCTTCAATCTATTCATATTCTTTGCCAAAATTCCACCCCCTCCTGATGGTGCTCCCACATCCTTTACTCTCTCTGTTGTGCATGCCTAAAATAAATTATGTAACACACAATTAATGCTCAGTATTACGCTCCTCATTCAAAATAAATCTGATAACAATGATTGCAAAATTCGTTACCTAACCATATTTGCGAATTTCAAAAAGCTTACCCTGTGTTGTCTGTGACACGAAGTCGCTGAATACTTATTAGAATCCCAATTGTTACTACTCAATATATTGTAGTTTCTTCTTATTTGATTATTAATTAATTTTATGTTACACTTATATACACTTATTATAGCAGCCATGCTTGTCAACTGTCAATGTCATATGTACGACTTGAAGTTGAATCAATAACATGATTATACAAATAATTCAAATTGAACAATGCAATCTAATAAAGAGCTATAGTCGCCTATATCACGAAAATCCGATACGAAATGATGCTGGTTCGATTCTCGAAAACCAACAAAAATTTGTGGGGGCTGATAAACCCGAAAGGCGGTAGAAATAGAGCCGAAGAGATTTATATCAATAATAATTTGTTTAAAAATCTCTTTATATTTAAAAATGTAATAGAAATTACATGCTGAAAAATTAATTAAATAACAACTGCAAACTAAATATATTATTTATTTTATAAATTAATAGAAACATTGATTATGTTTGAGTAATTTATAAAATTTGTTATTTGCAATTAAATGTAATTCCAAATGCATCAATGTGTTAATAAAATGGTTTAATCATTTTTTGTTTCTTGTAATTGTTGACAGGAGCGTTGCCAAAATAGTGAAATGAAAATTAGTTGGCATTCATTTTGCAATTATTTTTAGCAAATTCAACTACCTGTGAGCGGGCAGCTCAGGAAATATCTAAATTTAAAAATTATTTAAACTATTCATATTGTCGAACAAAGAATGAGAGGTGACATGTAAATAAAGATAAATTAGAAATAAAAATTATATTTTTGAATATAGACTTAATATATTTACAAAAGAAAACAATGTTAACTCACATTAACATTTGTTAACAAAGTGTGTAAAATAGTAACAAGCGAAAAAATGTATATTTAGGACCTAAACCACATGATAATAGCATAAATGTTGGTGTGTATAAATATATATGTATGTAATGATTAAATTAGGCACTGAAACTATTATGCATAGCCGAATTGTATAATATAACCATATAAAATACAAATTTCGTTTCACATACTTCAGTGCACTTTATTATATCCTTATGTTGTATATGAGGATAATGAATTGGATGGATTGACCTTACGCATCGACGACATCGCCGTGGCCGTCGTCAGCCTCGCCGTTTTCGTCTGGAACTTCACTGTTGGCATCAGTGGGTTGGACAAGAGCTTCGGCTTCGTTGTTTTCCTCCACGGCTTCGGCTTCGTTACTTTCCTCGGCAACCTCGTTTTTGGCACTGTCTGCGGCTTCACCGTTGTCTAATTGAACCTCGGCGCTGGAAGTAACGGTTGGCGCGGCATCGTCTGGAGCCAACTTCAAGTACTTCTCCAGCTCGTCGACTTCATTGGCCATATCGAATTGATCATAGTCCTTCAAAATAAGATCATAATAATGCTAGCTGTTTCAAACTTATCTTCAATAATTTGCGAAGATATAATAATATAAAAGTTAATACCATAATTGATTTTCCTACAAATTTGTTGATATAGTATTACTACATGAATAAGAATAATAGCGTTTCATTTGTATTAGCAGTAAATATAAATGTTTGATGATTAATGTAGTCTCACCCCACAGTAGGTGGTGTCATTGAAGAGCTGGGGAGGCAGTGCATGTCTAGGATTGGCGTCCCCGACGGTGGCCCCCAATGAAGTGGAATTGTTCTGCATGAAGTCCTTGTCGGCCTCGTTATCAGGCTCTGCTATATCGACGACCTCATACTTGATGTTCCTCGAATCGAGGATCATAAGAACCCGCTGTTGTCTCTTCTTGACCTAACAAACAAGGGTTCATTGGTCGATGACGACACACACACACTCTGCTGCATTCGATTCAACAACTTCATAATACTATGAACAAATAAGAGCAGCCCACATCTAATATTATTTACCTCTTTGTTGCCGGATATGCCGCTAATGTACACTTTCACGACCATTTTTGATTCTACTTATCTCGAAGTTTCACAATCGCCGCAAATCACTAAATTTCTTATTCGATTTTTGCTATCCTAACTAGTGTACAGTGTATTATTAATAATACTGTTATTTGACAGCTTACGCCGTATATAGGCGGGGTTAAGAGTCTTAACCAGTGTTTCCAACAGAATAATAAATAAATATTTGATCAATTAGTAAAAAAAAAACGCGTTCATATAAATAGCATAAGATTGATATTAAATTAGTTGATTTGACAATAAAGTTAAAATATTTTATATATTTGTATCAAAGAACTTGTAATGTGTCCAGTAAAGTGAAATTAATTGTAAATAATAAGGAGGGGATATAGCTCAGTGGTAGAGCATTCGACTGCAGATCGAGAGGTCCCCGGTTCAAACCCGGGTGTCCCCTAATTCTACTTTTGTTACTTTTAATACAATTTGGTAATAAGTATATTTTAGTTTATATTTTAGATTGACTTCTTCCAAGATTGACTTCTGATTTACCAGATGTTTTTTAATTAATAAATTAGAATTTTAAATCCATCTTTCGGACAAGTGACAGAGGTAAAAAGAACTTCAAATGTTCATAGATAAAATAGTTGATGCATGAAGGTGGTGGTTATCTAAATTCTGTTGAATAAGATGCGTTCCATAAAATTACTTTCTTAAGCAAAACTTACGTTCTGTTTAATGTTGTAACTATTAATGATGAGATTATTGAATCCCAAAAATAAATGAATTTTAGTTGAATATCAACAATTCCAATATTTAAAAAAAATATATTTCTTAAAATTCTGTCGCATCTCCCACTTTGGAATCAGCTTACCTACCATCAAGTATTTTTTTAATTTGCAACACAACTGGAATCTTTCGCGGCACACAGTTTGCCAGACACAGCGCCTGAAGTATCTAGTATTCTGGGCATATCCGATTGCTACGCCTCTGATTGTCATAAATAGTATTGAATGATTTGTTTGCATTGTATGGCCTTTGTTTGCCACATACAGAGGTAGATCGTTTAACGAACACCTCGCTTAACGAGCAAAATAAACTGTAAGAAAAATGACTCGCTCAACGTGCGACGTTTCGCATAACGAGTGATGAAGAGAAGATAAGTCCCGGATTTTGCGCTTACTACATCATTTTCAAACCTTGTGTACACATAGCAAAATCATTAAAAAGCGAGACCAATTTTTACATTTTCTTCCGGCATGGTACGCATTATCGTGTTTTACATTAGTTTATATGGGGAAAATTGTTTCGCTATACGAGTAAAAATCCGGAAATTTTAGAATGGTTTATGCTCGTTTATGCATTTATTATTAAATAATTTATTTAAAATGTAAGGTTCGAAAACAGGTTTTTTTTTTAAAGTCGGTTTTTGAATAAATCCTATTTGAAACCGCGAAATTTAGTTTACATAAGACGATTGTGTCTTTTGTTTGTTTTGTCAAATGCTTCCCTATAAAATTCTAAAATAAGCTAATCTGCGTGTTTGTGGATATTACTGTACATAAAAAGTAATACAATTTAAATCACTAACCGAAAATTGAAAAATTTAATGAAGCAGCCGTATTCAGGAATACGTGACACACCTGGCACAACGATTCTTAGAAACCAAGATTGAAGATCACCCCAATCCAAAGATTGCTGCAGATGGTGCTCTCTCACACACAAACTTCCTTACAGCTAGATTACATTTGGATTCCAATCTTGTACAATCTAAACACATCTTATTTGTAATAAATTTCCTGTAACATTTCAACACAACAAACTAACATAATCATCACAGACAACCGCAAACATCGAACAAATCATCACAAATTTGATATCGGATAAATTATATATATAATATTTCAATAAACTGATTATTAAAGAAACTTAGAAAATTAAAGCTTTCAATTGTTTGAATATATGCTTGTAAATAAAACTTTCTTTCAAAGGGACGAAGAAAAATTATGATTGCTATAAAATATTTAAATATGAAACTTCCAGATGTCGACTATTAACTAAAGTACTTCGAAAGAAAAACATATATTCTGAGTTATTCTTAGAAAACTGAAATAAGAAAAGGAAACACTGCTATCACAGTATACTTTAGTAAACCTATTAAGATATGAATTATTTATAATATAATGTTTTTCCAGTAATTTGCTCCAAAAATGCCACTTTCCTAACATATTTCAAAGTAGTCTTAAAGCATTCTTGAGGCATTTACCATTTAAATAAATCTATATAAGTTCAATGGGAGCTGCGTTTCAATTAATTGCCGCTGTTCACTAGAATACCACTATTTGTAATTGAAAACATTTGAATGAAATAAATAAAAATAATGCACTGGTCTTGTTCTTTATTCAGTTTGCAATCTTGAATGGCCGCAATAAATAGATCATGGTAATTTTACGAGCACATAAATAAGTATGTCAGTAAATCGTTCAAACGTACACAGTTTCTTTGTTTGTAATTGAAAATACACGAAAATAATATTAATGTTACTTAAGCGACAAAATATTTGATCCGTTACTTAATCAATGCGATTAATATTGACTTAAAATATGTAGTAATTGAAACTGTTAATTTGAAATCCTAATAACATTTTTTTTATGTCGTGTAATTTTATTTACAATCTGTTCATCAATGTGAACACTGAGTAAATTTAAGATCGCGGTTGACATTAGGTAGGTAATCTTTCCCGGTGGACAGTTTACCATTATGATGCTTAGATTTTTAATTTGTTGGTTTTCTGTCGTATTGTAGGTTAACTTCAGAAGTATATTGATGCTCTGCGATTCCACTATTTCCTTTCACTGTGAATCTGCTGCTATCATTAACACTGTCATTGTCCATCGACTTGGCGGAGGGTCCATATGCTGAACTTTATTCATTTCACAAAGGGGCATGGCTTTGACCAGGATTCGAACTAGCGACATTCGATCGTGAGTGGGGCAATTTTTCAATTCGGCTATTAGTCGCCCAAATTCTAATAATTTGCAAGTATTTGTCTTAACTGTTTAATAGTTTTGAAAGATGAATACACATTAAATTGCATTTTTATTCAAAGAAATCTTTATATAGTTATTATTCAGAATATATAGTTAGACTTTAGAAGTTTTCTTACTTTAAATTAAAATTGATGCATTAAAACCGGATGAGTATTCAGCAGCTGTTCTCATTTTTTTAGACACATGTTAAAATAGTTAATGACAAATACTTTAGTAATAGCATTAAGTTAAATAATATTTATTTATGTCCATAAAAAAAACAATTATTGGGAATAATTGAACAAAAAGTAATAATGTTTATACGAATTTTGTAAGATTTTTTATACGATTTTATTTTATATGAATTGGCACATTGTAATGTTTTCTATCAGTGTGCATATGTACAACCTGCTCAAACGATTCTGTTTGTCGATTTTGAACCAATTCATCACAAGAAGATGCGGTCTCTCTCCACCGCATAAAAAATTATCTAATATAATGTACAAAAACAGGTTTTACTATGCATAGAAACACCATTGGCGGAACTCAATTTTTTGAGCACATTTAAAAAAAATATATTTAAAATTGTTCCTACTAGATCTTAAATTCGAAAAATTCGCTTAAATTTGAACAATTTCCTCTCTGAGCATAACAGTTATCATTATAGTTCGTATTGGAAAATTTGTTGTTAGATCTTCTTTATATTTTTATTTAAATATTCATTTTATTCCATTTCTGCCGATAGATACCAATTTAACAAAATGATGACATTCCTGGGGCATTCAAATATGAACCAATAAATGCATCTATATACTGATTATACTGAAATTGTAGATTCATTATTGTTCGAAGACAATGTGAAATTGATTTATATTGACTTTTTGATTTGTTAGTCACAAAATTTGATCTATATCGAATAAAAAAACAATTAGAAAACCGATTTAACGTAACCTAGGTATTTCGTTTTGTCATTCTCTTCGGATTTCGATGTCAACTCAAGCCTATGCAAATTTTCCAGGAATGCCAAAATGCATACGAAGTGAATGCATCATCCCTTGTGACTATTCCAAGTAGTTTCAAAGATTTTAGACCTGATATTTTTCTGTGGAGGACGAACCTCGTGAAGGTGGCCCGAAATTTTCGACCGATAATACAAATCTAGCACTGGCGAAAGAAAAAATTGACGAAGATCCAAGAATAACACAGGAAATGGTGAACTGGGCTTTGTCGCAAATATTAAATCATCACTTGGGAATCCGGAATAGAGGAACCCATTTTTAAATGACCAAATAAAGGCACGTGTTCGTTTTGCCTAATATTTCTTAGAAAATTTTGAAAGTGGAGATTCTAGCACCTTTAGGAAAATCGTAATAGGTGATGAATCTTGATTTCTATAAGTACGACACGGAAACCAAGTTAAAGCAGTTAAATCAAGACAAAAAAATCAGCAATAGGAATATTTTCAAAGGTGGCTCTACTGACTTAAGAAATGTATTGAAATAAATGGAAATTACGTAGAGAAATTACAAAAGGATGCAATTATTTATATTTAGTTTTTTTTCAGCCAAATTAGCGAACTTCATTTGACTGAAAATTATAATAAAAAAAAAAAATGTGATTATATATCACTTATTAATTATAATATATAAGATGTAGTACAAACAGTGGTGGTGACTGCAAATGTTAAAAATAAGCGTAACAATTACAAAATTCGATTTAATCCTGATTTAAACGATATCTATAGGACATGATCATGCTTAGGTCTTTATGGTGAGGAGTGTTTATAGGAAGAGGAAGTTTCCTGCAAGTTATATTTTTTTTCTCAAAGAACAACAAAATCTACCACCTTAGTAAAATACATTACAGACATAAGAACAAGGTTGGATATAGAATATATAGTTGCGCCACTTGCATAACAAATTGTTCTGCAATAAAAATGCTCTTAGAAAATTTAAACAGAATACAGTAGAACAATTTTGCTCATATGAACTAATGTAATATACGATAATGCGTTCCATTTTGCGAGTCATTTTTCTTAAAATGTATTTTGCTCGTTAAGCGAAATGCTCGTTATGCGAGGAAAGGCAAACCAAAGGCAAATATCATAAGAATTGACGAATGTGAAATTGTTATGATATTGTCATTTTATTAAATGTATGAGAAATAATTTGTTGAATAAAAACTTAATGTTATGTAAACTTTGTTGAATAGGATAATTGTAATAATAGGAAATAGTAAACTTCTAGTATTCTGTAAATCTCATTTTAATTCTTTGTAGTCATTTGTATATTGTAAATCAGTTAAACTGAATTGATAATAAAATAATTGTATGAAGAACCTAATCATTAAATGAAACAAATGTAGAATAAATGTTGACTTTTTTGAAATTATATATATTTATTTTGTTCTTTTTATTTCTGTTTTTTGTACGACTGATGCAATAACCATTATTATTATTATTAATTGACAGTGAATAAGAAATACATTTGTATTTAATGGTTTTCCAAAGAAATGAAATATAATTTAAATTATCTTGGCTTGTAAATTAAATTGCGAGTTATAAAGAAAGGCTTAACAAAAACAACAGAACAGGACGATGAGGATAGGGAAAAAAGACAAGAAATATATTGAAACGGTACTTTGCAGAGTACAATGAGTCGGCGATGTTCAGTAAGCGTGAAATCAAATTATACAATTTCTGTAGCCCTACCTTTTGCAGCGAAGATCCCATGTCTGAAAACGAAGTGAGACGCACGACTTCCGTGTTTTACAAACTCATAACGAACCTCGTCCACAAGACAAAAATAAAATGTTTCTTTTTTTTATTTAGAAATTATACTTTTATTGTAATATATAGATATATTTCAAAACTCCAATAATGTACAAAAAATATCTGTGTAATTAATTAATGTTCTTTTTTTTGTATGTCAATTTGTTCAATATGTCATCATCATATCTCTTTTTTTTTCATCTCTCTTATATTCAAATATTCATATTATTTTCTCTCTCTTCTAATGTTTCTTTTATTTTAAAATTTAGTGGCTGCGGGTGTAATTGACAATTATAATCAAGTATGTACGCTATTACTAATAAGGTCTAGGAAAATTACCTAGCAACAGTAACATGGCGTTTGCCTATCACAATGTCCAACAAAAACGATCTCTCCAAATAACGTATTTTAAATTATGTATAAAATATTAACAGTTACTATTATTTTTTACTTTTTTTGGTAATGCGTAGCATGAACACTCACTGAAAGGAAGACAACACTAAACACTTGGATCATTATCTCGTCCGTTCGCAGCCCCCCATATATTTAATATATATATATATAAATATATATATATACACATATAAACACACACGTATATATCCACCCGCAGGAATAATTACATTTATAGACAATTTACATAAAACATCATAATAATCATCATCGACATCATCATCATTAATATTATCATAGCAATTTTATACCAATAATAGTAACAACAATAATAACAACAATAGCAACTATGAGTTATAAATTTATACAAGTCGTACTTAATATCCGGTGACCGGGCGAACTGGCGAGTTAATGAATTAATATTACTTCTTTTTATTATTTTTAAACAAGTCCAATATAATAAAATATAATATATATATATAATATATTCATTATTTATATAAATATAAACAAGTCCTGCGTTACATAATAATATTTACAATTGCACTCAGGCCCTTGCGCCTTCCCTTGCCGCTGCTCCGCACTACCCTAACCAAAATTGAACAAGCAACGTAGTAATGCACTTGATACAGCTAACCTGTCTAGATTACAGCCTGCGGTACTTAACCAATGAGGTACCTAGTAGTATATATCTCTATTATGTACAATCCGTCATTCCGACAAAAGTTTCTGCAGCAGTGAAGACTTGTGATCACCTTGTCGGCCCTCCTCCATAGTATTCTGCAAACAGATCATACCATTTCGTTAATACAAAATACGTAAAAATCTCAAAAGAAACAAACTACAATAAGAATAGATGAACAGAAGTACTATAAAAAAATGTAAAGGTACAATCCGCTCTTTAAACCAATAAAAAAGAAACTAAATAATAAAGCAACAGTTATATATTCTGCTTTAACATATTCATTAAGCTAAACTATAATATTAAAAGTATCTAATTTCTACAAATATCTATAAATATAAGTTATATAAATCAAAACTTCGTTTTACACTACTAATCTTAGCTTACTTAGAGTATATACAATTTCAAGTAAGCATATATTAATGAGTTTGTAACACGTATATAAAATACACGCTACAGTTGCAAATACAAAACTTTTGCAAGTCTTTGATCAGAACTATACAACATACTTTATAAGCATTACTTTATTTCTTGGTATTTTTAAATGATACCATAGGTAGTCTTTAAAAATTGCAAATGTTATATGTAAATATCACTTTCAGTTTAAAATGGTTTTGTAACGTAGTAAATTAATTATTTAATATCAATAATCGCAATATGATTATGGGAATTTTACATTAACATTATTAATGCTTCCATTAGTTATTGAAAAAGTTTTGTAATAATCTGGATTTCTCTGATTTTCTTTAAATCTTTCATAATTAAGAGTAATATTTATATTGCGCACAAACCTTAATAATGAGGGCGCAAAAATAAGATGCAATTAATAAAAAAAAACACACACGTAAAGCAATAACAAGACCAGTAAATAAAAACAAATTGTATTTTTTGTGCATAAATGATCAGGATGTGAATTACAATTTATATACTTGTTTGTTATTTTTTGAAGAATAAAAGCATTCTAGCTATTGTTATGTTCACGTACAATTATTATGTTAGTAAATGTGTAGCAACAAACAGGAGGTAAGCGCAAGAGAGGTGTGTGTGTCTTACCCTGGAGGTTGCTGCCTGCGGAGGAGACATTGAGCCCATATCTGACCCCATCGCAACCCAAAGTTTCGGGCTTTCACTCGCACCTGCACGCAACAATGTCATCATTGTACGCACTCCCTGCAGCAATACGAAAACTGCCTTCACTGGTTAAACATTTTTTTAGCACCATAAACTCTTTGTTCAGTCTCGTTATTGACGATGTGCTTTTTTTTTGCATGAAGGCAATCCCCGTATTAAACTGCCCCTCTGTTTTTAGTACGAAACAAAAAAACATTCTGGGTCCATAAAATACTGTACAGATGGGAAATCGTTGTTTCAACAACTAAATTTCGAATACTAGTTTGAACTAGGAAATTGACTATAAACGCGAAAAATATAAGTTTAAAATCTTGCAGGTATTTAGTATTTCTTAAGTTAACGGAGTCGCATCTGTAAGTATAATTTTGTTAAACAAAATATGGATGGGGAATGTACAACATATGATGGGTAATAAACAATTTACATTAAATTCATTACAAAATATACAAATAAAATTAATATATTGAAACTTTTTTCCCATTGGTCGCGACATATTTTTGACCTTAAGGAGTTTACCCGACCATGGACTTATCATTAAGTAAGCGGTAAATCGTTTTGTACAAAAAAAAACTTAGGAATCCCAAATAAAAAATATAAAGAAAAATAGTTGTAAATTGAACCACAAAAGAAGGTAGGAGTGAAGGGATTAAATTAGATCGTTCACTTACCGGACGTCTCGAAGGAAAGACCAAGAGCTTCCAGGTCAGAGCTGTTCACATTCTGATTCAGGAGTTGCTGTTGTTGCTGCTGCTGCTGCTGTTGTTGTTGCTGCTGAGTTTGGGGCCGTGTTGTGTTTCCAGTGGGAATTTGTTGACCCGTCCTGGCGCCAACCACCGCTCTTAACTCCTGGCGCACGTAGTCCGACGCTGGGCCATTTCCACCAGGAACACCTGCCATTCACAAATTCAGATTATTACATCTGCATCAAACTCAGTTCAAAAGTAAACACAGTGCATGCTCGTCTTTTCATTTTGATTACATCTTTCGATAAATTGTATAAGACGAGCTTACAAAGTGACTAATACACATATTTAACACACATTAAGTTTTATCTATAAATTAATTATTCTTATTGTAAGCGTCATAGTTATTTATATTATTTTTACAATATAAATATAAAGCAAGTACATATTTTGATAATCTAAATCAAACATTAAAGAAACTACTTTTCATCGAAGAATTAACAAACGCAATTGAGATATAGCATTTTTATAAATCTTATTTTAAAACTATTATTAAAATAGAATAGATAATATGATATTGAATAATATGTGCTATATTCATACGCCAAACAGCGCATGCGCAACTATGTATAATTTGAGTATTACTCTTATGCCTATCGTATAGAAGAACAAATCAATTAAAACTAACGCAGATAAAATGCATATGAACTACTTCATTTCAAACTTTAACAAGCACCATAAAAATTGTAAAAATAATATAAAAACCAGCATCGATTTAATCTTAATGACAACTAATATCCAGACCAAAGCCGACTCTGGTTTTGATTGTAAAATAGAAGTCTAATATAAGAATACTAATTATTTTACATTCAATCCGATTACGCATGTAACTAAGAAGCATAGTAATAAAAATATATAAATATGAATTGAAATATCCATTCGAGAAGCGTGCAGTTAAGTAAATACCTCAATGGACATTTCGTACATTCATTGGAAGTAAATCTAATCTGTTAAATACAAACATTTATCGAGTGAGGGTGGTGTGGGATTTAAAAACAAATAAATTGATTAAAACACACAAATCAAGCAACACTTATAGAAATTAGAGAGAGAGAGATAAAGTAAACATAAAAAGCGAAAAGTAAATAAAAAGAAAATATATGGCGGTTGACACAAACACAATATAATAAAAATAAATGATTATAAGATATTTTTAAGTTGGAAATGGTTGGATCATACATAGGCAAGGATACAAATGATAAATTCCAAATAATGGGGGTAGAGTGACAAAGGAACTGGGATTTTCATTAAGGCTTGAAATCCCATTCACATTTTTTTGGCAGATTGTTGATGTATTTATACTTTTTAGCACAGCGATGATAATTTGAGGAGCACATGTACTTATGAGAGTGTGTTAGACACAAGGCTGGTGTGCCAAAAAAAAAAATATTTAAAAAAACAATAATTAAAAAAATACTAATGAGTGCTTGTAGCAGCAAATCCTTAGAATGATTATAACAAAATACCATTCTAATGATTTGCTTCAGATGAATGCTTGATGAACAATAATGTAGTATATAGTATGATATATGAAAGTGCCCCATATATATGAATATATCTGTATTTATTTTTGTTGATCTCTTTCTTTGTTTTGATCAGCTAGCCGTTAACTTACCGGCCTGTAGATGTGGGGGTGCACGTGTGCCCCTATCTGCACCATTGTAAGGTAACTGTAAACCTGTTTGATCGTAACAGTACGGGGAGGACTCTTGTTGGTACATCATAGGGTGATGAGGGTTGGGAGGAATAGAAGGGTAAGAGTGTGTAGGATGGTCCCTGGCGAATGGCCGGGGTGATCCCAGGCCACCTGTAACACACGCACCTTCCTCAGATACAACGAACAACTAACTCCGCATTAAAAGTAAAAAAAAGAAAACAGAAACAAATTGAGTTCTTCTTCCTTCGTATCGTCCGTATCAAGAAAAATGAAAACTGAAAAATGATAATAACGAGAAGGGCGAAAATGTCTTGCGCGTCAACTAAACTCTTTCCTCCTTTATACTCACCCACAAATTTAGTCTCAGTAATAATATTGTAGTAGTACGAGAGAATGTAACAGAGTAACTACCATGCATTTAATATTATAAAACTTCACTGCACGACCTTAGAAAATCTCTACTGTATGCATGGCCTCTACTATGTAGCAAAAGATTCATGCTCATCAAAAAGATATTACAACACTATAATCCAAAATCACCGAAGCACAGTGATATTTGTCGGTATCTTCTTTTTTTATAGTATTTAATAATAATAAAAGTAAAAACAATACAAGTATTTCGTTCACAAGAAACCCTCTACTATGATAACATAAGTGTTGCAATCAGAATTACAAAATATTTTATTAAAAGAGTTAGTTGTTATATAAATATACTGTACTCGTTATTTTGATTTGTAATTTTCTCTGATTAATTAATGTCAGTAGTATATTTGTAGTCATGTGTATAATTTACCTGGCAGTTGCGTAGTGGCTGTCGGAGCGCTATTGGTGCGCTGTATTCTCAGGTACTGGCTCTGACTATATCCAGAGTTAGGGGAGGCGGGTGGCGGAAAAGAATCAGCTGGAAACGGAGACTGCCTCGTGCCAGCAGCCGAACCAGGACTACCGATAGCCCGCGATTGCTGTTGCTGTGACTGCTGTTGTTGAGGTGCGCCTCTCTGCACCGGAAAACCACGTCCGTTCGGACCGATCACATAATTTCCCTAGAACCCAGCAGCAAAAAGTTGGTTAACACTGCATCTGATTTAGATTAATAAAGCTTACAGTAAGTTGGGCGTTCAGCATTGGATTCTGTTGCTGCTGAACACTCAGTCTGCTCGGTTGCCAGTTGGCATTCTGCGAGCTGGTTTGCGGATAGGCTTGCCGCGGTGAGAGTTGCTGGTTAAAAGGCGGTCGTGGGGATAAGCTGGAACCACCCTGTTGGTAATTTCCGGCTTGTTGTCCAATAGGACTGGTCATCTGAGAATGCGGCGAGTAGGGCTGCTGGTTATTGATTCTAGAGTTTTGCTGACTGAGTTGGTAGTTCGGCGACAACTGGGATTCAGGCACACTAGAAGAGCGTTGTAGTGAAACGTTCGGCGCAACCGTATTGTTTAGGAGGCTTTCTATGTTATCCAAACTAGGATTCATATCGGCAGCCGCATTGGACGGTATAACGACCTGTTGGCGGCTTTGCCGTTCCAACAGACGCCTTTTTTCTTGCTGTTGCATTTGCTGCTTGCGCTGCAACTGTTGGTTAGTTAGATTATATTGGGGAGTTCCGGGACGTAGGGCTGGACGATTCATGGTGCCCATGTGACTGTAATTCGGAGGTGGCTGATAACCATGATTAGGTTGGCTCATCTACGAAAAGGAAACATTAAAAAGAAATATTAGTTAGATCGCATAATTAGTGCATTGATTAAATTAAGCATACCGTGTTCGTGTTGTAAGCAGGCGAAGAGCCCGGCATTGAAATCGTTGGTGAAGATGGACTTTTAACGGCAGTCTCGCACTGCATTAGTGATTTTTGTATAATGTTGATTGCCATCTTCTCGCTGATGGCATCGTTCTGTGTGTAATTGTTGGAATTGTTCGGTGGCGACATGGCATCCAAAAGAGTTTGTATGTCATTCTGGTTGGTCATCACGGCATCTGGTACGATGTCGATCACCTGGTCTAGGATGATTGATAGTAATGGATCCGAAGAGGTGGTATGCATGCCGAGCCACATGGAGGAGGGGGCAGTGTCGGTACTGGAGGTGGCCGGCGAGGCGTAGGTCGAGTCGACGTGGTTATACTGTCGGCTCGGATTTCGTTGTTGTATATTGCTTTCCGAAGCGAGCATGATATTGAGGTAGTTTGTGTTTGTCGGCCTTCCCTGCATGCGGGAAGTGTTCCGGACACTGTTCATCATGTTTACATTCGGCTGCATTCTATGATGATTTTTGTTTAAGTTGGCGTCGATACGCGGCAGTTTTTCTTGAGGCGTTGCCGAGATCACACTGGCAGGTATGGGAGGTATAGGTTGATGATTTGAAGGTGTCTTTGCTAAAAGCCGAGCCAACATTTTGTTTTTCTCGCACAGTTTGCTTCCAGTTGATCCGGAAGAAGTCACATGCGAGCCATCGGAGGATCGTTTCAATGGATTATCATCGCTGTCATCGCTAGAACGCTTTTTCGCCCTTCCTGGATCACCGTTCGGTGGTGCCGAATTATTGTTAAATCCCAGGCTCTGGAGTAGAGTGTCCGCTTTATTCGGTACTTTCTCGTCATCTTTCATTAGTACGTGTAACAGCTCACTGCCTTTCTTCAAACCAGCCCTGGTCTCGACATCATCATCATCACTCTTTTCATTTAATAGCTGCAACATGGATATAAATCAGTATTTCGTCACCAAATAATAAAATTTAAAAAATATATTTGAATTATATATATATATAAATAAAGAATATTCCCAATCACATTACGTATAAAATAATTTACAAAAATAAGTTGATTGTCAGAAAATGTATATCCTGTTTACGAAGATATGTCCTCAGTAGTTATGTTATTATAAATAAAACAGTATATTATTTTTCTGGCTGATTATTTCAACAATAAAAATTTTTAATAATATTCTAAACTGGGCCAAATAAATAAGACCTATTAATTAACCATAAATTAAGACATAACTCGAAACTAGAGAGAATCATTATAATTCAAAGACTGTTGTCATATTTATGTTTTAAACATGGATATTTATAAATTTTGAAATAAAGTAAAAGTGATTAATTAATTAAATTTATAAACAAACTTCACTAATTATCGCCATTTCAAAAAGATCCTAAAATTCTTACAACGTTGCATCATTATTAAGAAATTCAAAGAAAATTATAAAATATGATAATACACCGAAGGCACACAATGTTGCATCGGATTAGACAGATTTAATCGTGGTATAGGTGTTGCCAAAAATAAATAAATCCATATGCATTTATATATGTAAATCTATCAAAAGCTAAATTTCACCAAGTTTTAGAACCTTTTAATGAAAATCATTATGTACAACAGTCAGTGGCGAATTAAGAAGATTTGGGGCCTCGAGGAAAATTATTGTTGTTTACGCATGTTCGACTCCATTCCAACATAGCTAAACCTGCTATATGTTCTTGTTTACGCGTAAGTTCAGTTTCCTTCACCGACCATTGCCGGAACCGAAGCAAAGATAAGAATTGTTCAAACTTGAAAAATTATGTTTTGTAAGTTCCACTGATAACGCAATATAAGTTTTCGTTTTCATAATTGCCAAATAAAAAAAATAAGTAATGATATTATAGTTTATTGACAACATTTTATTCTTTATATATATGGACAGAATTGCAAAATACGGTTGGTTCCTATAACAGGAAATTGAGGACAATGCCGAGATTTAGCGATGTTAACTAGTTATTTCATCGAACGACATTCCGATTTAATTTTTCCTATGGTTGCGATTTATATAATCGGAAATCAAATTTATGTTACTACTCACATTGACTTCTGTGTGACGTAGCCCAGTTTTGTGTAAAGAACTCTTGACGGCACGGCGAGAACATTTCAATTGCCAACTATTCGCGTTTTCCTTGAAACTTTCAGCTTCTTCGCATTTTAAAACGTACTTGATTAATAATAACAAAACGAAATCAGAGAATGAATTTAATATGTTTAATGACTACGTCTTAAAAAAAACGAAGATAAGATTATATACAAATGTATATGTACTTATATATGTATTTATATATATATATACTGTTGTGCAGGAGAGTAAATGGTTGGAGAATGCGAAGAGAGTGGAAACTGCACAATGTGCAACGGAAGTTGTTTGGGGGAGAAACCGAGAGGGCCGCACAGAAATAGACGCATTTGGGAACCGATTCTCGTAACATGGGCATGGGCAAAATATCGACCGGAAAATGTGAATTATTTAGAAATTACACACACACACAAATGTGAAAAGACGAACAGCAAGAAGTAATGAAATATTACGAAGCGCGAAGGTCAAGGATAATATATAATTACATCACGAAATATTGACCTAACATTTTGAAATTGAAAAAGTGAATACTTTCACTAATTCTATAGAACAGAAATCTATATGAATGTATAGTGTATACTGATAATGAAAAATATTGTCACTTCGTAGGCCACTTCAAGTTTTATATCAACAGAAAGATTACAAACATTACACATGACGATTTTAAAATTATATATTTCGTTAGCGAACAAGTGAATCAATGCAATGGCAACGATAAAAAATAAATAACATAATAAAATGACTTATAAAAACAACCCTACGTACATTCTGCTGGCTTACCACCATATTCCAGGTACTTTAATATTAAACCACTTTAATGGCGCCAGAGAGGAACACTGCCACACTTATTTGAAGTTGCTTATTGTTAAACTGCGCGAAGCACACTGAAGTGCAATTGTTATAGAATCATAACACAGGATAATAGTGAACAGCGGGACTGAGTCACAGTAGTACCCGCCTACTAACCCAACAGGTAATAAGCTTATCATATTATTTTAGGAATTGCCAACTGCGAGTAGATTTTGATAACGCTGCCAACTGTAAAAACTTAACTGACTTAAGGCGTTCCAGAGCAACGAGGACATACGAACGGCCAACCAATACCAACCTCCTATCTCCTTCCTTACCATTCGCCTGTCGTATACACCTATCTATAGGCACAAACGCTACATCCAAACATACATACGTTTGCGACGCAAAGTATATTGTCTAAACATCCCAAATACACAATACAATTAACTTAAAACAAATAAAAAAATATATTAAATAATGTTATTGATGAATAAAAAATTAAAATAACAATGTTAATAATAAAATTTCGTTTCATGCATTTCTATAACTTTCAAAATAGAAAAAATACGCAATTACATTATTTAATTAAAAAAATATATGATGAAATCTCGATTATTATAATAAAACAATACTTTAATAATAAAAATATGTTACGACGATATTAAAGACACAAAATCAATGTTCTTGTCAATCAGGAAGAAATGAGAAAGACTTTAAGCGAAGGTGTCGTCATTTATATAAGCCCGCTTATATATATGTTATCTATTGTAATTAAAATTGATGTAAGACGAGTGAAAATATAAAATGGCGATTGATAAATTAATTGGTGAAAGAAATAGTTCGAATTTCTTCAGATACGAAACGAAAAGGTGAGTCACAAAATAGTGGTTCGAGCGTTCTTCGGACTGTGATTGTTCTTTAGAATTCGAATGAATACATACCGCGGATAATGTGAATTGATTACTTTCCATCATATACGTCGTATTCCCAAAATCGATAACAATTAATAAATAACTAATACTACTAAACAATAACACTACCACTATGACGAAATAAAACAGAATTACTCGCGAATCAACTATATGTATTCTAAGATTTAAAAACGACACGAGGTTGTGTTCTCAGTCCGTTCTGTTCGGAACCGATTTTAACATTTTATTGATAATAGACGAGTTTCCTGCGCATTGATAACCAATACCTAACTATAAATAAAATCACCTTAAAATGTTTCACTCGAAAATATGAACGTAAATAAATAATTATCACACACGTTGATGCACATACACAACTTCAAGAATGCAAAGGACATTTTGATTCAATCAGGAAAGAAATTAATGTGTCACAGGATCTCACAAAATGGCCCTTCCTTTTCTCTCCCTTACATGCACAACACGTGACAAAGAAGAGACCACATTTGGGGAATTCGCTACAAGAGAGAGGGGCGACTACCTCAACTACCCCTAAACTCAAAACTGATGCGCTGCTTCGGGTGGTAGGGAGATGAACGGAAGAGAAACCTTCGCACTCGGTAGAAGTTATGCTAACATATTTCTCAAAATAAATCAAATAAAAAGACATTACAGCTATTATTATTTTAAATATCGGAAACATATAAATAATCACAAGATTTGAAAATAAAATAAATTTAAATTCATGTATCGTTTATTTATTTGTTTGTTCAATGCAACGAAGAAGTATATATTGATTAAAATTCAATTCAAATCTAAAATTAAGTTAAAAACTAATCTATATATTTAATGAATTATTTAGAACTTATCAAACCTGTGGTCGACTTGAAGATATAAACCGAGCATTTTGTTTGGATGAATCAAACGTCATAAAGTCATATTCCACGACAACGTTTTCTTGTGATTGATAATTTTATATGAACTTAATTTTACTTAAACGTTAAATATAAGAAGAAAAAACTAGTTTTCCGAAAATAAATGTAGAAGGAACGACAGCTGAACGTCCAAGTATCTCTTAACCACTAATGACGTAAAAATAATACGACGGGGAACTGAACCAACTATTCTTTTCCCGGATTTAAAAAGAAAATCAGTCAGCACTGACCTCCACATAGTCGGAAAGCAAAGATTAAAAATCAGTCCCGATAACGAGATAAGGCATATTTAAACTCCGTCTCGAATTGGTTGAAACCAACAAAAATATACACGATGTAAGTATATTACGCGACATGAAGTACGTGTCTCGCAACATTTTTTTCATACTCGTCGCTTGTAGCCAATACAATCCGACAATAACTCTCATTGTAATATCAATTGAAATATGATATTAGGAGCAAACATAGGCGCGCGCTCGTACCAATTGCGCAAACATTTGCCATTTTCTAAAAGTGAAAACACATTTCGAACAGGAAAACAATAGTAATATAAACCTATTCGGGGTAGTGAAATATAAAATAAATTAAAGTCTTTCGCTCAAGCAAGATTATATGACGGTTCGGGATAATAAATATTTATACGTTGACATTGCTGGTAGAGAAGAACCTCTACTGATTTTAACGCGATACAAACGCACCACGCACAACCTGAGATAAAATATTATCTTAGGGTGCATATATTTCTTTTCTCTCTTTCGCTCTCTCATGCGCACTTCCTTATTTCTTTATCTAGGCTCTTCTCATTTTAAAGTGAAATAGGAAAAGTCAGGACACGTTTCTTACCTGTAACAGCATACCGCCAGCGGCGGACGGTTTTGGTAACTCCGATGTGCCAGGTAGTGAATTCCTGGTAGAGGGATGCGTCCTGGGACTGCCCCTGTTGTCACCTCGGTTTTCGTCCTCGTCGGTCTGATTGAGCAGCGTTTTCAAAATGGTATTATTATTCCTATTCTCACTATCACCGTTATCATTATTCGGCGGCTTTGTCAATAATGTCCTTAGCCTAGCCGAATCTGACATATCGTCTAAAACGTTCACTTTGGTATCAGGTTTTTGTTGTTGCTGCTGCTGTTGTTGATGTTGTTGTTGATGTTGGGGATCTGTTTCCATTGAGAAACTGGGTTCGGTCATAGGACTGAAGACATAGGTACTGCTGTAAGGGGTCGATGGGTTAGGTACGGTCGGGCTCGGCTGGGCGAATTGGGCTAGTGGGCTTTGGGCAATAGTAGTCGCAGGGCTATAGACGGGAGCACTCGGAGGTCTCGGAGTCGGCGTCGACACCGGTGTTACGCTCTGTCGCGAGTCTGGTCGCTGTTCTGTCCAGTTCGGGGAATCGAGGGTGTTAGTAAGGTCCCACGTGGACGAGGGGAAGTCCAGGCCAAATTGCAATGGATCATGATGGTCCAGAGTGAAAGTAGAGAACATGGACGCGTTTGCGTTCATAAGGTTACTGGACGACGTTGTAGAGCTGTCGCTACCGGAACTCACAGGAGCCCCATTACGAGTACCATTCACGACACTCGTCATCAATGGCCCACCCACACTACTGCCACCACCTGGATCCGACGGACCAGTGCAATCATTATCACTGAAAATCAAACATTAAACCATAATTAGTATAATCTCTTATTTTTTGTAATGTTGTAACATTATAGTAAATACATAAATATTCAAGATAACAATACTAACATTACAATCACGAATGTTCATGTTTGACCAATAGAATAACGTTAAACAGCTCTTCTGCTGATAATTTAAACTGTTAAGAGAAAGTTAGTGAAGTTGCAAAGTCCTATTTTCTTAGTGATTTGAGTTTTTGATTTGAAAATATATATTATGTACAGTGGAAACTCGCTTAACGAGTTTAATCCATTCCAAAATTTCCGGATTTTTACTCGTACAGTGAAACACGTTTTCCCATATAAACTAATGTAAATTACGATAATGCGTTCCTTGTCGTAAAAAAAGTATAACTTGGTCTCGACAAATAACATCTGAACACAAATTTGGAAATATGTGTGACCACATACATCAATAAGATGCAACTAGAATGACCACTAACACTAGGAACTTTCTTCCAATTCACACTCAGTGAAGTGAGTTTATACTTGTTTATATTACTTGTATCAATTCGGGGACTTGGTGGAGGTCTCTTCATACGTTTAATATTTGTTTATAAAAAAAAGCGTACATAGTATGTTTATATATTTTGCATTTACAGCAAACACAAATTATATTTGCAAAATATAGTCCGCTTTAAACAAAGATGACAAAATCGTAGACGGTTAGTATATTAAAAAATACACATAATGTGTACACAAGTTTTAAAAATGAAGTAGCTGGCGCACAATCCGGGACTTCTCTTCTCATCGTCACTCGTTATGCGAAACGTCGCTCGTTAAGCGAGTCATTTTTCTTACAATTCATTTTGCTCGTTAAGCTAAATGCTCGTTATGCGAGGTGCTCGTTAAGCGAGGTTCCCTGTATAACCAAACTGTTATAATTCTATTTTGCTATAAGTAATCAAACATATTTTTTGTTAATTGTCCAAAATAATTTCGTATCTTTAAAGCAATCATTAACGATGCTAAAGAATATAATTATAATTTATCACATGGCGCTACATTTGAAAACAGTTTTTATAAACAAATTAAAAAGGGCAAAAATACAAAGATGTTTACTTCGTCCAGGAAGAATTATAAAGCAGAGTAATAATAAATAAATATTACATTTTAATTACTTCATTACATTAGTTTGGAGTGTGACATAAATTATGTTGATTACATGACGTGTTTTGGAAATCCCTGGTCATCAGCGGAGCTCCTGTATGGAGCTTTCTAAATATACGATAGTCGTACGACATGAAATATTGAAGTTAATGTTTTATAATTGAATTATTTGTGGTTGATTTGAAAAGGTGGGCAATGAACACGTCGCCGCGAAATTGTGCTGTACAAAGTGTAAATAAACCAAAAATTCTATAAACTGTGGATTAGACACGAAACAGTTGCAAGGATGAATCATGTCCATGGAATATTATATTATATAAACAATTTTCCAAAAGTACAAGTCAGTTCTCGATTTTGCTTTTGTTATTGATGATAATGGACGAAGACGTACAAAATTTGTTTTCTATTCCGAAAGAACAAAACATGTTATTAAATCGGTATGGACAAACAAAAACAAGACCGATTGGTAAATAGATTTGAAATGACTTATTGCATTGTGAGTGTGTGTGCAAAATGCAGACACGACTAAAAGACTAGCAACACGAAGAAACTTACATCGAGTGTGATGCATGCACACACTTCTTAGCTTGCATCATCGCTTAGAAGGATTTGGTAATGTGAGTAATAAAAATAATAAAAGCGCAAGCATCAGCACTGGAGACTGTAATAGATTATTATGCAATGAATGAAATTATGCATTCATAAAATAAAGTATTTATTTCAATATAGAATGTAGAATACACCTGACTGTGTAAGGTGTGTCAAATAAAATTGTGATTTATTAAGAAGAATAGATAGCAAAGTCTCACCTGATTATAGAGTGCGTCGCCATTACAAATTCGGAGTCGGTGGACGAATGCGACTTGAAAAGCTTCGATTTGGTTTGGACTTGTACAAATTTATCGTGGCCAATACGCAACCGATATAAGCCGCTTGTGGACTGGCCCTCATTTATGGTTTCCTTGAGATGTTGCTGTAATTTGGGAAGATCCTGTTGAACACAGATGTCCTCCAGTTCTTTTCCAACGAGATCCTTGTTGAGGAATTGCGAATATTGGAACGAAATACCGGAAGAGTCGACGCCGATGATCTTCCAGTGGATATCGAGTTTTGTTGTGAATTGTTCTATGGCCGCCGAGCTAGCCACCTTATCGCGATGGGTAATCCTGCTCGCAACGCAAAGAAGACAGGGTCCGCCGTCTGAAGCGTCCTCTTCGGTAATCTGTCTCAGTGGTGTGCTGGAGATGTACATTACCTCGTATTGGCTGACCCTCTGCTGCTTCTCTTCCATGGATTCATCCTGATCGTCGGGTTTGATCAGAAGACGACAACTGAATGACCGCGATTTGTTGGTGGGCTCGCTGGCCCATCCAATGGACATTGGCAGAAGGGTCGCACTGAATCTAGCATGGTCACCATGGTGGATGAAATTGTAAATGCACTTGCCATGCACTTCTTCTCGTGTAAATTTTATATAGGTGGACACGTTGTCAGTGACATGCTCCACCTTACCTTCGCCGTTTACGACAAACAAGAATCCTTCTAAGGCCTCTAACAAAAGAGGCCCGTAGATCTCGTTGGAGAGAATAGGGGGTCTACGCTCAGACGATGACACTTCGCCCTGTTGTACGGGATCACTTGACTGGGTTGCAATCTCACGTTGTTTTATACTTCTTATTTGGTTGACGGTCTCCTGAAGGATCGCGCACTTGTCTGGCTTGACCGATATCGAGCTCATGTCCGCAAAACTGGCGGATATTAGCTCGGCCAGCTCCTCTATATAAATATTCTCCTGCTCGCGCCTCCTCTTCTCATTCTGGCATTTATTTCTGAAACAAAAGAAATAAAAATATCTGTTAACTACAAGAAAAAAACTCAACAAACAGCAAGGTACTATTATGTGAAATCGAAGTACCTTATATTAATATTGTCCCTAGCCATTTGTAGATTAGTCCAATTAACATTTTCAGAACATTCTATTAAAAAACCAAATATAAATATGCAACGCGAATCCCTGTCTGCCCAACACGCTTGCTTGCTCACGACTTACTGCACATGCAGTAAATAGAGTCCACTGTGCTTACATACACACATTTCAACATTTACCTAGTGCATATCGGCTAGATGGAACGGGACATTCTTCAAAGATATCCTATTTCTACAAAGATTTTAAAACAAAAAAAAACTATAAATATATCATTTTAAATTAATACTTGTATGTAGCAAGTGGAATATAATGCGTTACTGAAAAATCTACTTACACTTCAAAGATAAGATAACAATTACATATAATATATATATAAGGCAAAAAAAATATAGTAGTGATGATTAGTGACTTGTAATAGTGGTCAGAATGAAAAGTTTAAAAATAAGTATAGTTATTAATTATAATTGATAGCTTGTACTTCAATAAAAACTTTCTTATACTAAGCATCCAGAAAATAATAAAAAAAACACTTTATTTCACTTATATCAATAAAGGACAAAGAAAATAAATACTTTTACAATACCCGATTTATTTCCATCTGTTTTTATCATAAAGATATTTTTCTTTAATCACCTTCAAATCACATTACATTATGTACATTCTTTTAAATATAAGTGTTTTATTACACATAGTCAGCATAATAATTTCAGTGTATGTAAAAAAAACAGGTTCATATATAAATAAAATTAACAAAAGGCCGAACAAAATAAAAATGATTATTTTGTTTGCTTCTTAGATAATTTCAAATCTAAATTTCTATGAGTATTTCCATTCAGTATAATTCCAACAAACGTATGCAACCCAATATGCACGGATAATTTAATTTATAACTGCCAAATATGGAACGCGACCCACCATAATGCATCAAACAAGTAAATGACGAAAATTACATTTACTTGCATTTACTGATCAGACAATATAATGAGGTGAAGTGCTCTTTGGGTTGCGCAATTTGTATCATTAACACTCTACATCTAATTGAAACTTGTTACAATTCAAATTCTCATTATAATAGCATTTTCAATGGTTCAAACATACATTAAGTGCACCCGATTGGGACAGGAACTATTTTACTTTAACACGCCCTATGTTTTAAGACTTCATTACTACATGCAACCATAGATAATATTGTGTATTGTTTCATTTCTTATTTTAATTCATACATTTAATTAATGAAGATTATTCATAATTAGTATTATTCAGTATCATTAGTATCATTAAATGTATTAATTATTATATAATTTATTCTTATAAAGTTATGGAAAATTGCTGAAATAACAAAAAAAGTAATAATCTAGCTTTATAGTTGCATTGGCTTGTATATATTCTGAAAGGTGACATTTCAACAGCATTTAAAAAAGTTTGGTTCAGATTACACGAGACTTGAATTAATTAATAGATCAAATTGATAAATACATAAAAAAATCAATATGTAAAAGTTTTGAATTTTAGTGAAAAATCGGCACGAACTTTCCCAACAACCCAATACTTATATAATTAATGTTTTCATAAACGAAAAACTGAACTACCTAACATAATAACTGTGTACTGTTCAAGAATAATAATTTGTTATGTGGTTTATTATGTAGTGTCATCTTCCGACCATGCGCTGCATTCACTTTACGCCTCTTTTTTTTTAGGTTCAAGGTTTGTCGTTCGATCTCATCCGCTGACAAAAAGGCTGATTGTTTCGAACTTCCGCCGGAGTTGAGATTAATAAAATGTAGTTCAGAGTGTGAAATTACTAGCTAACACTTCCAAGCACAAGAAAATAAAAATCACGGTAGATAACTGCAGAAATTGCGAATAATCCTCGTTTCATGAAAAGGAAAGAAGTAACAACAATAAAGTAAACGTAATTTGACTATATTTTACGACTTTTCCTTTTTTGATTTAATTTTGTGAAGTTGTGTGCGCAGAACGCACTTATCGGTGTTGCCAAATCTACTGATCGGTACTGGCAATCGAGGAATATGTGTCAGGTTCACTGTCAGTACTTCGGCGGCAACATTATGTGCCAAGTCAGTCACGACATATAACAATACACGTTACTTATACCAACCCTCACAAAGCCAGCAGGCTTTATTTCTAGCACTAAGTTTATGTAAAGCATATCATATAGGATGATATTCACGATTTTTGTTCTAATCTAAAAGCACCATCTGCTTGCAGTCATGCAGTGAAAGTTATAATATACAAAGCAACAGATTCAATTTGGAAATATTGTGTACGTTAGTCTTTCGTACTAGTTAATATCAATTAAGTAATAAAATAATTTATCATAAACATATTTAGTTATAACACGTATTATTTCAATGGTAATAATTATTTATAAGTGATCATCTTTGCAGTTAATAAATACTTACCATTTATAAACTTTGTACTTTATTTTTACCTAGTCGATCGCTTGCCGCCTAATACTTGTATGGTAGATCGCCGATAGTTTAAATCTGAGCGTAGACCGATGCAATAGACATAGATTTAATTAAAAAAATGTAAGAACCACAGACATTACTTTACTATTTTTTTTATTGTAGTAGTGTAAGCATTCCATGAGTTTCATAATACACCCTGGCGAAGTTTTAAAAATAAGAGGTAATTTCCATGAAAATAAAAATCAAGATAACAATATTTGTGACGTTACTACGAAAATTAATATGCGAGTACCTTCTTAAAGTTTGAATAAAAAGTACCTAAAAGATTAAGTGAGAGAGCGACAAAAAAATGAAGAGTGACACTTAGGAAGAAAAATGGAAATGGTGAAGAGATTCTGCTGATCAGCAACCTTATTAGTGTCCTGCGTATGAGTTTATATTGCTGACGTTATGTTCTTAACACATAAAAGAAGATACACACTAGAACACCGGATCTTCCTGGAAGTGCTTATGCAAGTGCCGTGGCTCTAGTGCGCATAGGAAAAGAAAGAGGGACACACATACACGCATCATAGCGTACTAACAACCTGGCATCACCGCACTCACATGTTACCACACTAATTGTTATTCACCTCGTGAGCCGCATAACTTATCATTTATTATAATTCATACCGTTTGGGACCACGATTGAAATTATTTATAAACAGAAGCACTGTCCGAGAGCCACGTGTAAAAAGAAGTATAAAGCACACCCAAATACACCGATACAACAATTGAATGCCAGCAGTTTGGCGGCAAAAATACAAAAAAAAATATTTATAAATACGCTTCGATATTGCAATAGCAGTGATACACTTAATCAGGATTACTTCAAGTCGAATGTCAATTTTAGATCTGAAAATTGTGTTGTCAAGTGAAACGCGGTTTAATACAAAAAAAAATGTACGAAGGACGTAGCTCGGCGTATTGCAAAACAATATGAAAATTTACATTTCGCTACGGTGTGGAAGGCTTCGTTCTCTCAGGATACATTCGTATATCCACCTTGGGTGTTTGTTAGGATGGTAATGGAATCAAGCTGACAGGCAGCGCCTATCTAGGCACAACAGCCTATTCACAAACGTACGCGCCTGCACAGTACATTCAAACACGTCTTGACTGTATCAAAAATCACGCACTACTGAACCATTGTTTGGAAGTTTTTTTTCAATTTTATTGCGCGCGCTCTATGTCCACGAATTATGGGTCAACCGTTCTTCCGCCTTGAATAAAATAAAACGTATGGTCAAATTCCACAAAAATCCGAATCAAACTGATTATTTCGAAATGTTTTATTAGGTGAAAGTCAAAACTTGACCAGCGCAATCGAGATGAGCGCAAAACTTATAGCCGCACAAAAGTATCCATGTCAGTATCCATGATTCTCAAATTGAGCGTTATTCAATCGAGATTTGATACATTTACAGACACAATATAATTCATACCAGATACTGTATATACACGTTAATATTTATTGTTTTAGTAAGACAAAGAACGTTTTAATAGTATTAATAATATAAATTGCATATTGTTACAACTATTTAAACTAAATTGAACTAAAAATTTGTAAAATATACCAGCAGCAAACCATTTTTGAAAGAAATAAACCACGCTCTTGTGAGATATTAAAATAATTAATGACTTATGCGATTCCTTGCTTGACTGAGCTGATACTAAGTCACATTTAGTACTTTATTTCTGCATTGTCAATTATTATTTGTTATTATTGAATGAAATTAAACTTAAATTCAATTACCAAATTTTTAACTTTGAAATTAAAAAAAAAATATGTTCAATGTTTCGGGAAATAAAATTAAGCTTGTAATAAATACATAGATTTACGTAAAATATTTTTTATTATAAAATTTGTAAATTATATTAGGCTTTTCAATTACTCATTATGTAAAATTACTTTATACATTGTCAAGTGCACCGCTTTTTATAGTATTAACAATAAATAAGATATTTTTTACTTATAAAAAGTAAGAGAAAATAACTATAACGATCCATTAAATTCAATAAACTATGGACAATGAGAAAAAGTACTACTACTATATATATATATA